TTGAGAAGATTTTTAAGAGATGCCATTAATTTTTAAATTATCTCCCCTTGGAAGAGGGCGTGGTACTTCATTAGAACAAATTTGAATCCCTTTCACCCAAGGATACCTTTTGGTAAGTTTGGTTGAAATTGGCCCAGTTGTTCTTGAGAAGAAATCAAAAATGTGAAAAGTTTACAGATAGACGGACAGCTGGATGGACAGGTGCACACTGGACAATATGTGATCAGAAAAATTCAGTTGAGCCTTTGGCTCAGGTGAGCTAATAAACAGTTAATTAACAAATGCATTTAAACTATGATTAGATTTTTTAAAAGTTGAATTAAGTGGCATTTAAGTGTCATTTTGTAGGTACCTTGGCCTATCCTAGTGGTACAGGGGACATGACATTGTACAGGGGACATGACATTAGGGTTCTTCTTGGGTATTTACTTATGGTTTGTGTATTGAAATACACAATAAACCATTAACTTTTTATTCATCATAAAAATACAATCTCTGCCTCTGAACTATGCATGCATAATTTAGCTGAAATAAGTGAATTTAATTTAGATTTTTACCTTGGTTTAATAGCGCTATACTGTACCTATTTAAGACAATTAAAGTGTTAATTTGCCCTTCAAAACTTTTTTTTGTAGTTTACAAGTGCATATAAACCATATTTAGAATAATTAAGGTTGTATATGGTGACCTATGGGTTCCTAGTGGTATCCTTGTGGTTCCTTGTGGTATCCTTGTGGTTCCTTGTGGTACCTTGTGGTTCCTTGTGGTAAAAAGACGTACCCGTCTAGACTCTAACGTCACATGATGTCGTATTTAGGTTGCATTGCAAAACCGAAGCCTGAACAGTGCTGATTTTAATGAAGAACGTTTTATTTACTATTTTATTTGCAATATATTTATTTAATCAGGGCGAGTTTATTTTTTTGTTGAATTTTTTATGTTATTCTTGCGAGAACGTAGCTTTCACAAGCGATGCATTGTGGGTACAGAGTTACTGTGGAAAAAATTTTTTTGGATCAACGTGCAAAGTCCGAATTTTCTCTTCGCCTAGGCATTGCTTTAAGAGTTCACAGTGACGAGTGGCACTTTGCAAAGCTTGCTGTGCTCGCTATTAATGAATTTGACCTTAAATATAGCATATGCCAGTAGGGGTGAAACGATACACCTCCTTCACGGTTCGATACGTATTGTATAATTTTGTCTCGGTTCGGTTATTTTCGATACAATACATTTTCAAATTGATAGAAGGAAACAAATTCAACCTTGATTTATGCTTTCTTTTACTAAATCTAGTCACTTAATTTACAAATTTTTATTTGCAAATTGACTAGAAGAAATTGATTAGAATTATTTGACTGCCAAAAATTATTTTACAAACTATTAGTCATAAATTTTTTTTATTATTTATATTGAGTAACATGTTTTACCTTATGCCAAACCCGACTGAATAACAATCCCCACTGAAAAATGAACGGAACCGAAAATTAGAGATTTTGCTCCGTGTATCAAACTGAGAAAAAATACCGCGGTGAATCGATACCGCGGTGAACCGTTTCACTCCTATGTGCCAGGAGTTGAAGTTTAGTCATTTTAAAAGTTGTGATCGGACAGGTCAGTTGTTACGGAATTGGATTAGGTCAAAATCTTAACACATTTGGATGATTTGTCGTTTAGCAAACCATTTGACTATGGCGTAAGCATGATATCTAATGACGCATCTGTCTGGAGTTAGAATTTAGTCATTATGGAAAATTGTGATGGAATACGACATACATCGAATGTTAAGGAATTGAATTATATCGATTTGGAAATTTAAGCACATTTCAATGTTTTGGATGATTTGTTGTTTAGCAAAGTGCTAGATAAATATGATTTATTTGTTTTTTTCTTCAGTTCGTTTTGTTTTGAAACAATTACATTGAATCAAGTTGTGTTAGAATTCATTCTTACATTGTTTGTAATTAATCACTGCTAAGTGTAAATAAAGTTTGAATGAATGAATGAGAGAACTTGAAAGTACTATTATGCATTTTTTAAAATAATTAAATTTTGGTTATTGCTCTATATAATCTTAAATAATAGAATTATACGTGAGAATGAAAGATTCGCAACTAGACAGTCTCAAGTAATTACGCGAAAAATAAAGTTGTCACGAATAATAATTGGTTTACAGTATATGTAGCAGTGTTGGGAGAATAGGTTAGGAACTCAGTTATTTATATATTATTAAGAATATTTAAAAAAAAAAAAAAAAAAAAAAGGGAAAAAAACATGATTAAAAAAACCCATTTTTCCGCTGTTCCCTCCTCCGAGCTCATAAGGATGTCTTCAGTGAGTCTCTATAACCCACATATCCTGAAAGAGTTGAAAGTTGATAATACATGTACATATGTTCAAAATTTTATGACAAATTGATTAATTTTCCCATATTATCAGTTACCAGTTGATATACATGTAATACAATATAGTATAGTATAATTAGTATTAAATTTGTGTGTTAAGTAATAGATGTACATTTGTAACAAAACAGTAAACCAAATATGGATTTTAGTGGAAAGTAATCAGTTTTTACAGGCATTGTGGATGCAGTCCATAAAGTCCACACATTTTTAAATGCCAGAATGAATAATTTATTTGTCAGGCTGCAGTGTGACTGTATAATTGTGATTATATAGTTACAAGTGTTCACATAACAAAATTCATTGATCTAAATCCTTAAGTGAGGAGTATTATTTTTACAAGTTTATGGTTAAAAATTCTTATCCCATCGTACACACAAACTTTTAGAAAAGAATGTCTTTTTTTCCCAAATCTAGTCCCTGATAGTAATGTTCTTTTCAGTAAAACTTGGTATATTAGTAGATTGCAGAGTTTCTGAAAACCAAATATTTCTGTCAGTCATTCGGACTTATGACTTAATGTGTTCTACCAGTCTGAAGCTAATTCTATCAGACTGAATAAATTCAGTATAATTCATGATGTAATTCAAAAGAATATGGACTAGCTGGTCTGTTTCACCTGAACTTTAAATTACTGCAGAACATCAATGGCAACCTAGATAACTGGACCTTGAATTTGTACTCAGATTGAGTGTGTATAAATGAATCTGTGGATCGTAACAGCACGAATTGTTAGGCATTTCAATAGAGTAGAATTAATTAGAATAATCTAACTGTGTCTCTAGACAAGCCCTCACCACAGTTAGAATCATCCCACATATCGATAGTTGCATGAAGCAAATTGGAGGGAATCCACTCCAAAATGAGTTTGAAGAATACAAAAGAAGTTGCACTGGAAATAACTACTAAATTACTCATAACAAACATTTTTAGCCTGTATATGTCTTTTTTCCTAAAAAATAACCTATATAAAGACAAAAATTCAACTCATTTTCTCAGTGTTTTTTCTCGCTTCGAATTTACATGCCATGTTGATGTTCGGAACTCTTGAATTTATTCGTAGTAGTGTAGATTAGAATTATCTGCCCCTTTTTATTTTGCTACATTGCCAGAAAGTAACTCACTAAAAGCTTTTTGAGATTACAACATAAAGACAAAACTTTACAGTTACTACGAAAACTCAAAAAACAATGGGTTGTTAATGCAGAAAATGATCGGTTCATGCAGACCAGTGAAATAGTGAATTGCAGGGGACATTTCAATTGTAATGGTTTGGGCTGTAGATATCGGCCTGGGTAGCTCAATCGGTAGAGCACCTGACTAGTGATGCAGGGGTCCCAGGTTCGATTCCCGGTCCAGCCATATATTTTCTCCTTTCCTGTTAAATCATTTGGTGCCATTGACCACCCCTGGACTTGCAGGTGCAATTCCTGCCGGGGGCTAATAAGAACTTGGGTTGTGTCTTCGAGGACAAAGACAATTTAAGAGGAAGGAGTGTAATGGTTTGGGCCATGGATATCGGCTTGGGTAGCTCAGTCAGTAGAACACCTGTAATGGTTTGGGCCATGGATATCGGCTTGGGTAGCTCAGTCGGTAGAACACCTGACTAGTGAAGTAGGGGTCCTGGGTTCAATTCCCAGTCCAGCCATATATTTTCTCCTTTCCTGTTACACAATTTTCTATTGGTTTTGCCGGTAGGACCGATGGTTTTCAGAAACTCTGGATTGTTAAGATACATAAATCTATTGATCAGTTTCTGGTTTGATGAACCATGTTGCCCTGGTTACTAAGAAAAGAATAAAAAATTTTGTGGAATTCTTTCAAAATGCTACCTCTCCTTTGGTTTTGACCTGATTTCAATTAAACCTGGTACACACATAGACTAGCTACACCAAGATGCATTATTCTATCTCAGTTTTGATTTCAAAACCCCTGTTTCCTTGGTTACTAAAAATAGAAAATTCTATGAAAATCATTAAAACTCTAATTCTCCTATAGGTTTTTTGTCTGATTTCAATGAAACTTGGTACCTCACATGAGTAGAAACATTTTTTTTTTTGGAAAAGGGACCTGATCCTCCTTAGTCATGTATGCATTCCAAGTAAAACACTGGTAGAGCAAGATGCCTACACTATTACCAGAAACTTGTTCACGTATAAAAAAAAAATAAGTATCTAATAATACAATACATTCACTAAGCAAACTATGTCCTAATAAAGTAATCAAATGTAATCATGATTACTTACAAAAAAAGTAACTGCAGTGTAATCAATTACTGTCCAAAAATGAATTTAATTGCAATTGTAATCATGAGATTTCAGTGTAGGTAATTGTAATTGGTTCAGTTATTTTTCAAAATAATTGACCACATTTTACTCAAGCATGGTAGAGGTTTACTTTTGACTTGGTATATAAGGAGGGTAGGCACATTCAAAGAGACCAAATGTCTGCATAGTGTTGGATTGATTTTTGATTTTTTCTGATGATATTTTGCTTTAACTTAATTGTTTTTCAACACCTAACATTAAACTTAGATGTTTTTGTGTCTTTTGAAATTTATAACTAAAATTCATATAATTAATAATGATTATATTTAAATAGAGAGTTGGTGCCTTTCAAGAAAAAGTAAAGAAGTATAGAGGAGGTGGCCAGGACCTACTGCCATGGAATACAGCTGTCAAGTTTCTTATGGCCAGGAAGTTTGATTGTCAGAGGGCATTAGAATTATATATCAATCATGAGGTTAGTTCTACAAATTATCAACAAGTTAACTTTTAATTGTAGACTGCAATAAGGCTTTACAAATATTGGTGATTTCTAAAACAAATACAGGAAGGTATGCCACATTAAAATAGGCTATATTGGTATCACTTCCCTCTCCAGAATTTCTCTGTTAGACAAAGAGGAGAAAAGGAGGATCAGTAGTAACAGGGGGAAATAAGTGTAGAAAAAGGGGGAATCAGTTGTAACAGGGAAAATTAGTGTAGAAAAAGGGGAGCAGCAGTAACAGGGGAGATAAGTGTAGAAAAGGGGGGTCAGTTGTAACAGGGAAAATAAGTGTAGAAAAGGGGGGATCAATTGCAACAGGGAAAATAAGTGTAGAGAAAGGGGAATCAGCAGTAACAGGGGAAATAAGTGTAGAAAAGGGAGATCAGTTGTAACAGGGAAAATAAGTGTGGAAAAGAGGGATCAGTAGTAACAGGGGAAATAAGTGTAGAAAAAGGGGAGCAGCAGTAACAGGGGAAATAAGTGTAGAAAAAGGGGGAACAGTAGTAACAGGGGAAATAAGTGTGGAAAAGAGGGATCAGTAGTAACAGGGGAAATAAGTGTAGAAAAAGGGGATCAGTAGTAACAGGGGAAATAAGTGTAGAAAAAGGGGATCAGTAGTAACAGTGGAAATAAGTGTAGAAAAAGGGGATCAGTAGTAACAGTGGAAATAAGTGTAGAAAAAGGGGATCAGTAGTAACAGGGGAAATAAGTGTAGAAAAAGGGGATCAGTAGTAACAGGGGAAATAAGTGTAGAAAAGGGGGAACAGCAGTAACAGGGGAAATAAGTGTAGAAAAGGGGGATTAGTAGTAACAGGGGAAATAAGTGTAGAAAAGGGGGATTAGTAGTAACAGGGGAAATAAGTGTAGAAAAAGGGGATCAGTAGTAACAGGGGAAATAAGTGTAGAAAAAGGGGGAACAGCAGTAACAGGGGAAATAAGTGTAGAAAAGGGGGATCAGTAGTAACAGCTGGGGAAATAAGTGTAGAAAAGGGGGATCAGTAGTAACATGGGAAATAAGTGTAGAAAAAGGGGGATTAGTAGTAACAGGGAAAATATGTATGGAAAAGGGGGATCAGTAATGAGTAGTAACAGGGGAAATAAGTGTAGAAAAGGGGGGATTAGTAGTAACAGGGGAAATAAGTGTAGAAAAAGGAGGGTATCAGTAGTAACAGGGGATATAAGTTAAGGCTGGGCAATAATACCGACAATTCGGTATATTGCAGTATGTTGACAAAATATATCGTATTGCAATACATTTTTGTAATACCGATTTAACGGCAAAATAAATGGTCTCAGGAATTCTATCATAAAATTGAACGAAAAATTGTCAGAAAGGTTTGCGATCATGCCAAACAGTAAGACAAAGGCTGTTGTGTGGTGTATTTAGTTGCATAACTGTAATTCAATCAACAAGATATCTTTTATTGGTTATTTATCATAGTTATGTACATTCTACATGTAAAATGAAGTGAAAATAAAGAGAATATACCATTTAAATTTTTGCTGAAAATATTGCAATACATATCACAATACAGTTAAATATATTGTAATATATCGCAGTACAAAATATCTAGCCAATACCCAGCCCTAATATAAGTGGAATTGTTTGCTTCATCAGTGACATGAAGACATGAATAAATAAGCATGGGATAGTGGAAAAACCAAAAAAAGGCATTTTCCTTTAATACTGCTTTAAATATTAAAGGGGCCTGGACACAGTTTACATTTTAAATTTCTATGTTTATTTGAAAAAATATCACCAGTTAAATGAATTGAACTTATAGGAATATTCTTAGAATTCAATGACAATGACATTATTTTTTACTTCACATCAAACATCTGTATTTGGAAACAGGGCACGAGCTCTGTTATTGTTAATGTTTATGTTTCACCTTGTGTGTTCAATTTGTTAAACTCTGCACACATCATTGAGCAAGGACTGACAATACTGGTGAGTTGGTTTTGCTTTCTTACATTTCTACTCTGAATTTTTGGATTATAGTTTTAATATTTTAAATAATGTTTTTCATTACTACACAACAGAATTTCTACTTTCCTTATGTATTAAGGATAAAGTTTACTTCATGACAGTGAAAGGATATGTGTCAATCAAATGCATCCCGAAATTGGTAGTTTTAATTATTTTCAGATAAAAGAAATTTCTGAACACATTTTAGTTATATTTCTATAAGAAATGCTCTAGCAACATATACGCCATGATATTATACAGAAAAATTGAGAAAATATTAACTTCAGGTCTGTGTCCAAGCCCCTTTAAGAGAAGTTGGCAATGGTATGGGGTGTAAAGTTAACTCTTGTTCTGAGTTCATTTTAGTTTTGTAAAAATGTTGTTCATGCAGTAACATTTATTGTAAGTCCTATCAAAGAGTGTAAGTATGCATATTTTCCTGTGTTGACTGTCTTTACAGGCAGTAATCTTATTTTTTATTTTGCATAAGTATATTCTGATTTTAAAAATTCTTCTAAAGCAAAAATTGATGTCCTTAGTAATGTTAGACAGACCATAGAAAGTTACACTTTGATAATAGATCCAGCATATAAAAATTGTGTCAGATTTAATGAGTGATACATTTATAAGTGCTTTGTGAATGTATTTTTTCCTTCCTTGTAGACAATGAGTCTTTTATTTACTTCCTTTCAGTGCATATAGCCATACGATATTTAAGTTATCCGCTAAAGCACTCCTTTTCCTCATCTTTGAATTTCATGGAATTCTATGGTACATTCACATGGCATTGCTTGTTTTGTGATTTTGTGAACGTACATTTTTATTTCTGCTGAAGACACAGAAAAGGATCTTGTGTAACTTGTATGGCTTCTAATTACCTTGGTCATTGTGTACATGTATTATGTTAAGATTTGCCGATGTAGGATTTTCATGTTTTGAATGCATTTGTACCAGACTTTTTTTTTATTGATACCATAAAAACAAGATTAAACTAACTCTTTGAGACATCATGGATGAAAAATCTTGGATTGTTCCTCATGTGGATTATTTAAGAGGGGAAAATATAAATGATGTGAATTTATTTGGACTGGGAAATGTTATTGTGTGGTGTGTTAGTCATCAGATTATAAGGCGAGAGGTAAGTATCCTGTAATCAGTCACCATGATACATGTATACAATAACCTATACTGTATAGGAACGTCTGCTGGGTATACAGTCAGGGAACATGTCTCTTAATTTATAGAAGACACAAATCATTAGGGCTGGTTATTGGTTGAAAATTTCATATTGTGATATATTGCAATATTTGGAACTGTATTGTGATATGTATTGCAATATTTTTTAACAAAAGTTAAAATGCTCTTTTCTTATTTTATTAACCTCCATTTATAAGCAGAGTGTATAAAACTTTTAAAACGTTGTAACAAAAAAGTTCTAGTTGATTTCACTACAGTTTGGCAATGAAATGCAGCCATACAATAGAAACCTTTACTGTTTGGTACTGTTTGGCACGATTGAAAATGTTTCTGAAATCTTGAATATCATATTTTACTTCATAAATTGAAAGCCCAATCATTTTGCCAGTATATCGTTACTGGAAAAACGTATCGCAATACGATATTTTTTGTTAATGAATCGCAATATACCAGAATATCGATATTATTGCGCAGCCCTACAAATTATATAAAGAAATTCATTGAATACTTTTATTCTTTTAAATTTATGTTCATATATGTCATCTCCTTTCATAAGTGAATCCTTTTTGATCTAAGAAATACTAGTGTTTGGTGTAAAATTTTCTCACTAGATTAGTAGAACATTCAGCCACTGTGCAGGAAAAAAATTGTTGTTTCCTCATTATGTAATACAGATGTCTATAAACTTGTAAGTAGCAAAACACAGCTTTTTTAGACTGTTCAATTATCACTTAAAGTTTGAGGTATCAGCCACCCAGAATTATCTTCCTGTTAAAATTGTAGGAGTAAGGAAGTGATCAATACATGTAACTTCTGTTTTAAATTTTATACAGGAATTTTGAGTCACTTTTGATTGGACTTATTTCAGACTGCCTTCACTAAATCTTATCTAAGCCAGTTTTATAATTTTTTTGTGTTTGTCGCACAAGTGGATACACTTTACAAATAAGAACAGAAATGATACAGTGTGACTGACCCTTCCTTTGTTTACATTGAAGTTCAATGTTTTGACATGGTCATAAATTATATTTGATTACATAGGTCATCCTGTAGTTAGCCGTATATATCCTGTGTATATATACATGCAGAAGGAATGCTTATGAAGTATGTTTATGTTATAAGATAATCTTTGGTATCAATTTAAAACGTGATTTTCTGTAGTTTTACATGTACCGTGTCATTAGTAAAATTAATATGTGCAGAGTCATGTCATATAATTATATATGCACCAGTACCAAATGTTTGGAAAAGAATTTCATTGTTGATTTTGTAAAGCTATCATATTCAGTGATTAGTAAGATATCATTTGTCTTTTTAAAAAAAAAATCCATGCCTTAACAAAATGGAATGTAAATTTTGTAAACTGTTTGCATCCACATATAAAGTCAAAAGTCTGCTTTTAGCATGTTTAGGTGTCAATATATTTTGTTTGACATATGCCTGCAAAATAATTCCAGAATCTCCTCTTCCAATATTTATTTTTTTGCTACAGAGGGAATGATTTTTTTATGAGATGAGAAATTTTGTGTAAACTTCCTGATTTTTCCAGATTCATGAAATATTTAGGCATGCTGATTATTTTTGTGTGTGCTGTATTTGAGTAGGAAGTTGGGAGGCTGCTTACTTGATTTTTAAGCACATGCTCAACTTTAAGGAAAATAAATTTACATGCCTTGCTTGATGCAGCCTACGTGTTTTTGGTTCTTAAAGCTAAACATGACTCTTAAATGGGCATATGCCATATTAGTTTCATATCTCAGATATCAGCACTGGGGTATACCCTTCACATTGGTTACACCTGATTACTTTTTGGCTGGTGCTACAGAGGTGTCAAAACCTTTATTTATATTACAATTAAACGGGAGGAGGGGAGGACAATAAATAAATAGATAGACAAACTCATGCACATGTCACGAAAAAAATATTCTTGTGCATATATGAACTCGTGCAAAGGTCTTAAAATATTATTGTAAATCTTGCACACATATTTGGATAAATTTTTGGAGCCAGTTACTCATGTACATTCTAACATGTTTAACAAGAATAATAATAGCAAAATTAATACTGTAATGCAATATACACAAAATTTAATTGTCATGAAAAATTGGACGATTCCTTCTTTTTGTAGTTTGTGTGATACATGTACTGACATAATATTTTTATGAAGTGAAACTTTCATAAGATTTATTATGTCAATTTATAATTTGTATTTGTTGAATAGGAGACAAGAAATCGAGAAGATCTGAGTGTCATCCAGACAGGCGATGAACAGCTGAAAAAAGAACTCTCCACGGAGAAATTTACTATTCTGGTAAAAATAATTTTCATGAACTGCAAATTCAGCTTAGAAACCTCAATAATAGAAGGCACTTGTAATTAGACCAGGATAAAATATGTTCTTTAATGCAGCAGTGATAAGGGTTTATGATCAAGGATATTTGAGCTGCCCCTAAAATTAAAAAAAAAGTATGCGACAGTTATTCAGTAATTTAATTATTTATGTTATTTTACTTATGTTTTATTTGCAGTTTAAAATTTGTTTTATTACATTTTCAACGGTGAAATACAGTAAAACACGCTTATAATGAAATTATAATGACTAGGAGTAACCTGACTAATTCATTTTACAGAGTGGCAGAGACAGAAATGGTGCAGCCATTGCCTTATTTACAGCCAGAATCCATCAACCTAGCCTCACCACCCACCAGCTGGTCCTGAAAGCCCTTGTCTATCAGCTAGATGCTGCATTAGAAAGGTAACCTATGTGAAAAAAAAAACTGGTTTTGTTTCCTCAATGTACACTCAAGAAAAGTGGTTTATGTCAGTAGGTGTGAAGTCCTTTACTCTCAGTGACTAGATTTTGTAGATTAGACAAAAATAAACTTGAAAAGTCAATATATATGTACATATGATAAACATGATAAAGGAAAAAAAAGCAAGCCAATATTCTTTAATGCCTGTATTTTGTCCCCTGCTTTCTTGAAAGTGCAGAGATATTAAATCTCACTTGTCTGTGAGTCTGTCTGTCAGAAAAACTTGAACCTTGGTCATAACTTTTGAATGAGAGAAAATAAGCCTTTCCTATTTCGTGACCTTGACCTTAAAAGTTTAAACTATTTCCGAAAATTTTATCTTAAGCCATAATTTTTGCACTAGAACAGACAGGGCTTTTATAGTTTTGCACATGTGCATCACTTTTGACAAGGCCTTTCTAATTGGATTTTTGACCTCATGACCTTGACCTTTAATTTGGATTTCAAAATCTTTCATCTTGTTCGTAACTTCACCAGAACATTTATTTTAAAAAATATATAACTTCTTTAGCATGATGGACAGACAATGACAGTGACAATATGCCACATATCATTGAATTGCGCCCCAAACAATAAGACTTCAGAAGCGGGGGACTGCAGTTCTCTGAATTTGCTTGTTCACTGTTAGTTTAGTACCTTTAATGTACCATTGATCCAATTTTTCAGTATTGAAACTCAGAGAAATGGTTTGGTATTTATATATGACATGACAGATTCCAAGTACTCCAATTTTGACTATGAACTCAGCAAAAAAATCCTCAACATGCTAAAGGTGAGTTAATCGCCCCAAAATTTGAGCTTCAAACTAATACTGTAAAACTGATTATTTTCAAGGGGGATAAGTACATGATTTTTAAAACCATTACTAATTGGTGTTAAATACATGATCCTGTATTTTATAGTAATGATGACTCCAGAACCTGGATATTTTTGTAAATATATGCAGGGGAATTTTACCGGGCTCTAAGCTTACTGCAAAACAAGGGTATATTTCCCTAATTCAAAAATAATCATTTTTACAGTAGTTGGCTTTTTGCTGCAGTCTTTGCAGCTGTGCATGATTTCTTGATCTCTTCTTTTTAATGAGGCAAACCCTTTTTGAGTATGAAATGATTTAATCCTGAGCAGATCCCATCGAGGTACAGTTTTTAATATTTAATTGCTAAAATTACAATCATAGATAAATATATATGTAATATCATAAAACAGAAAAAATGATATTGATCAATGCATGAAAATCTTGCAAAGTGGATAATACACAGTTAGTTAATGTCTGATCAGTCAATGGAACAGAATATTTTTCCCAAGGTGCTGGGAACAGCTCAGAGTGGTCTTCCCAGAGGTGTATGGCAGAATTTTATGCATTAATTACAGTACTGGTATCCAGAATGGATTTTATGTGTATTGCCTTTTATTACAGGGTAGATATCCTGAATTTTATGCTTTTATTACAGGATTGAAATCCAGATTACCTTAATGACAGGGTAATATCCAGGATATTAAATCCCTCATTAGGGCCTTATATGAAAGGCAGGAGCCCTATAGAAATCACATTGTCTGTCTGTTTGTCCATCCTTCCATCTTTCTGTTCAACAACACTTTTATTTGCATGATAATATTATTAGCTCACCTGAGCCAAAGGCTGAAGTGAGCTTTTCTGATCAAAATTTGTCCGTTGTCTGTTGTCGTTGTCATCGTCGTTAACTTTTCACAATTTCATCTTCTTCTCCAGAACCACTGGGCCAATTTCAACCGAACTTGGCACAGAGTATCCTTGGGTGAAGGGGATTCAAATTTGTTCAAATGAAGGGCCACACCCTCTTCCAAGGGGAGATAATTACAAAATAGTGAAAAATTAATGGCATCTTTTAAAAATCTTCTTCTCAAGAACCAATTTGGTCAGGAAAGATGAAACTCATGTGGAAACATCGTCAGGTAGTGTAGATTCAAATTTGTTCAAATCATGATCCCCGGGGGTAGGGTGGGGCCACAATGGACGATCAAAGTTTTACATAGGAATATATAGGAAAAATCTTCAAAAATCTTCTTCTCAAGAACAGCAATGCCATGATTGATCATATTTATATGGAAGCATTCTCAGGTAGTGTAGATTCAAATTTGTTCAAATCATGACCTCCAGGGGTAGGGTGGGGCCACAATGAAAGTTCAAACTTGTAGAGAAAAAGAGTCACAGTTAGTCAAAAAATTATGTAAGCATTCTTAGTTAGTGTAGATTTAATTTTGTTCAAATCATACCCCCCCCCCCCCACTCCCTTTTAGGGGTAGGTTGGGACCACTTATGCATTTAAGCTTTTCAATACTTAACTGATTTTTCCTATTTTCCTAGCTCAGGTGAGCGGTGTGGCCCTTGGGCCTCTTGTCAAATTTTGTACAGGAGTACAGTAAAACATGCTTATAGCGAACATGCTTATAATGAATCCACACTTATAGCAAAGTGATTTTCATTCCCCATGGGCTAAAAGGCCGATATTTTTAACTGTACAGGTTTTTTTCCCAAGTAAGGGAGGGACTTTATTTTAAATGTGTAGTACCCAGAGGCATTGACTGTCATGCAGACTGTGCAGGGCATTAATCCTATGTACACAAACAGTATACAAAGGAAGTTCTGAGTATTACCTGTACAACTTGTATGTCATACATTTCATCCAGAGATGAAATAATAGCGTATAAGCAGAATTTTTAGCAAGGATTCAATTTTGGCATTATTAGCAAGGGTTCTGAAATTTGCTAAAATTGAATATCACTAACAATTTATTCCGTATCGATTGTTATAACTATCTATCTTGACATCAGAAAGTCGCTAAAGTTATTTCTTGCTAAAAATATATGCTAATTTTTTTTTGATAAATTGCTAAATTTGCGTCTCACTAAAATTTCCACCTACACAGTAAAATCTGTACATCGATAAAAAATATCATTTAGTAATAACTAATATTTGTAAAACTCTGTAATTTCTTATTCTTAATCAATATCAAACAAACAGAAACCCCATCGATTTTTTGTAAAAATATATGTACCTTGAGTCATTGTTTCAATGAGTTGAGTTCATCATTAAAATTATGAACTCAGGTAAATTTAAAAAACTAATTAAGGTGTTCAACCTCACCTGCCCTCGTCAAATTTTTAAATATTATTATCATAATAAAGTGCACAGCCACAGCACATGATATGTCCATCAGACATTGTTCAATAAGGCCAAACAAAAAAATATGTGTGGTTCCGGTTACACCTCCAAAAAAATTAGGGTAGGTAGGTAGTTTTTTTTTTTTTCTTTAAATTAAATGATTTTCTTAATTTTTCTAAATAATACCTATCACTCCTTTGCAAGTGGCATTTAGATGTGGTATGATAATATACTAGTCAATATTGGTAGGGGACACCTACATGCTAGCTTGCTTTGGATTTAACACTATTAAACACTTACACTATGTTTTGCAAGGAGGCCATCATTGCTGAAACTAAAACTTAAACCGGAGCCATTGATAGAAATCTGGGAAAATTCTGGAAAAAATATGAAAATTGCCAAAAAAAAAAAGTTTAGGGTCGGGGGTATAGAATAGGGACGGTCGGGTAACCGGAACCACACATATTTTTTTATTTGGCCTAATCATAAATAGTTTAGAGTGTAAGGAAGAAAATCATGCCAACCATGATACAAAGATTTCAATGATTTTTCCACTCCTTATAATGTTTGTTGTACATCTCATGTGGTGTAGGTATTAATTATAACAAATAATACATCATATATTTCTCAGCTGGTTGTGTTAGAGTTTAACAAAAGCCCATCTGCAGCTATGTTTATTTTTTTTATGCCCCACCATGAATATGGCTGGGGCATATAGAATTTGTCATGTCCGTCTTCTATCCTTCCATCCTTCTGTCTGTCCTTCTGTCACACTCTGCGTTTAGCTCAGTTCAAATCTCAATTTCAAAGAAACTATTCAAAATATTTTTATAAAACTTCATATGCTGATACATATTGATGAGAGCTATCCAACTGCACCAACATTTTTTGACTTTGACCTTTCCTTTGTTTTTCTTAAATTAGTATTTAGCTCAGTTTTAAAGAAACCATTCAAGATAGTGTTATCAAACTTCATATTCTGATACATACTGAAGTAAGCCATTCAACTGTATCAACATTTTTTTTTACCTTGATCTTGACCTCTTTTTTCTTAAATTAGTGTTAAGCTCAGTTTCAAAGAAACCATTCAAGATAGTGTAATCAAACTTTATATGCTGATACATATTGAAGTAAGCTATTCAACTGCATCAACATTTTTTGACCTTGACCTTTCCTTTGACCTCTTTTTTCTTAAATAAGTGTTTAGCTCAGTTTAAAAAAAAATCAGAATAGTGTTAGAGTTGACCATAATAGGAAGACATCTATTGATTTTTGTCCATCAATCCTTTAGGTTAGACAGTTTTTAACCATAATTTCTTTCAAAATTCTGTACATAGGAAACTTATCTATCGTGATATGATGTCAAAAAGTTTTCATTGTAATGATTTCAGATTTTATGCAAAAGGAGTTGATGATGAGAAAAAGACTCCTATTAATGTATGATCATATAGTTTCGCATCTCTGTGTGTATAATGTCTGTGAATATTGTAGTTCGAACAAATTTAAGTTATTGTTCCATATCCCTTTGTGTGATATTTAGTTCTAAACATTGCTGTACTAAGGACAGTTGTGACTTCCTCCGACAGCCCTTAACAGGACCCTCTCTGACTGTGTCTAGTTTTCAGGGTGGCTATCCAAAAATTGTATGTTTAAACTAGTTTTCAGGGTGGCTATCCAAAAATTATATGTTGAAACTAGTTTTCAGAGTGGCTATCCAAAAATTGTATGTTGAAACTAGTTTTCAGAGTGGCTATCCAAAAATTGTATGTTGAAATAGTGCCTTATTTACAAGGTGGCTATCCCAAATTCTATGTTAAGTGCCATACTTAATGACTTTCAAAATTTTGATACCTATCCTGAATTTTATGCTTTATTAGTGTCTTATTTACAGGGTGGCTTCCAGAATTGTATGGTAATGTCTTATTTACAGGATGGCTTCCAAAATTTTGTTAATGTCTTATTTACAGGGTGGCTTCCAGAATTTTATCTTAATGTCTTATTTACAGGGTGGCTATCCAGCTAGACTAAAGAAAGTCCTCATTGTAACAGCCCCACTGTGGTTTAAGGCACCTTTTAAAATTCTCCGACTTTTTGTGCGGGAAAAATTACGAGACAGGGTAAGTATTCAATTTTATCATAAGTAACTAAAATGGTAATATTTTTATCCTTGTCTGAGTTCAGTTAAGGTGTAAGTTGAAAAATATAAGGTTATCCCTAATTTTATCATAATGATTAAATCTGTATATTGATCAAGATTAGAAATGGAAGAACACTGTCAGCTTACATGTATCTAGAGAAAAACTGGAGTAGAGTAATCCAAGTTAATTATTTATTTGTGTGTTGCATAGAACTAACTATTTCATGTTTTACTGACTTGATCAAATTTACTCAAAAACCATTGTGCATCACAACTGCAGATATGAAAACAATATCCTATGAGTTATATCCACTCTATAAAGGAGTAAACATGTGATAAAAATGTATTTTCCCTTGGGAATGGTAAGGAAGTGAATTATTGACATTGAAAAACCGCTGTAAACAATAAACAATCATACACATTAATACAAAATACACCTTAAAAAGAATGTAAAGTTTATTTTGAACCACAATTAACATGTACCATCCTCAATTAGCACATATTCCTTCAGCACTGAAAAGCTTTTAAATTTACCGTGCGTGGTGATCAAATTGTTTGAAGGTCAGTTGTCACTGTGGAATTTATTTTATAAATGACAAAGAGGATAAACATACCAATATGAAAAAGATTGGAAAACAAAAACAATATGTATCTTGATAGTTGTGAAAAAAAACCAACAACAGTCATGATAACAACATTTAGGAAAACCCACCTGTTGAGTGAGCCTTGACATTTTATTTCTTGTGTTATATTTATATAAGATTTCTGATGTCTATAGTAATCCAATGGTTTAACTTCTTGAAATTTCTTGATATTATTAGTTATTATCTTTTAGGTTTATACCATAAACTTGTCCCAGCTTACACAGCATATACCTCAAGAAGCACTTCCCAGGCAGTTGGGGGGCATGTCATCCAGCCAACACAAAACATGGCTACAGCTGTGCTCCCAACTAGCCCTCAAAGAGGAGGCAGATATGAACTCTTATTTTGTGTCATTTAAAAGAAACACAATGGAGGATGGACGTGATTCTACTTGTCGCAGTGTGTCGAGTGACATGTCAGATCATAACATACTTCATAGTGACATTGATTCTGAGGAGTCTAAAGAAACTGTGAATGAGAAACAGAATAATGAGGACCTAGAAAAAGAGGATTCCAGTGACGAAAAGGAGGTCAATGAGGAGAAGGATGATTGGTCAAACTCAGCCCCATCCAAACGGAGGCTTGATTCTGTGAGTGAAAATGACTCAGTAAAAAGAGCAGCTCAGGAGAACAATGAGGAGAATAATTTTGAGGAGAAATCCATCGACAGTCCTCGTAAGAAGCGCCCCTCCTCCTCCACATCCTCAATGTCCAATAACACGATGGAGGAAAGTATACACATGCCTGAGGAAGAAGGCATGGACTTGGACCAATTAGTAGAATATACTCGCACCATGAGGAGGCATGGACTTATGGAAGAGTATGCCAGTATTAAAATGGAACCTCCAGCAGGGACATTCACTTTATCAAAGTAAACATGATTTTTATGCCCCTGGATGGAAAGATCCCGGGGGTATATTGTTTTTGTCCTGTCTGTCTGTTTGTCTGTTTATCTGTTTGTCTGTTTGTCTGTCTGTCTGTTGTCAACTTTAACCTTGCCCATAACTTTTGATTGGTTGGAGCTATGACTTTCATATTTCACATGTGTATTTCTTGTGACAAAACCTTTCTTTGGGTACCATCATATTTGACCTTTTAACCTTGACCTTTGAGTTTGACCCACTTTTGCAAAATTTTATGAGACTTTAACCTTGGCCATAACTTCTGAACAGTTGGTGCTTGTGTATTCTTTGTGACAAGGCCTTCCTTTGGATACCAACAACTTTGACCTTTTGACCTTGACCTTGGAGTTTGACCTACTTTTGAAAAACTTTAACCTTGGCCATAACTTTTGAAAAGTTGGTGCTTGGGGTTTCAAACTTCACATGTGTATTCCTTGTGACAAGACCTTCCTCTGGATATCAACCTCTTTGACCCTTTGACCTTGACCTAGGAGTTTGACCTACTTTTGAAAAACTTTAACCTTGGCCATAACTTTTGAACGGTTAGAGCTAGGGCTTTCATACTTTACATATGTAATCCTTGTGACAATACCTTCCTTTGGATACCAACCACTTTGACCTTGACCTAGGAGTTTGACCTACTTTTGAAAAACTTTAACCTTGGCCATAACTTTTTAATGGTTGATTCTAGGGCTTTCATACTTCACATATGTAATCCTTGTGACATCACCTTCCTTTGGATACCAACCACTTTGACCCTTTGACCTTGACCTAGGAGTTTGACCTACTTTCAAAAAACTTTAACCTTGGCCATAACTTTTGAATGGTTGCAGCTAGGGCTTTCATACTTCACATATGTAATCCTTGTGACAAGACCTTCCTTTGGATACCAACAACTTAGACCTTGACCTTGATGCTTTACTTACTTTTAAAAAACTTTAACCTTCGCCATAACTTTTGAACAGTTGCAGCTAAGGCTTTCAAATTTAACATTTTTATCTTTTGGCCTGGATTTTGACTTGCATTTGAGAAACTTTAACCTTCGCCATAAGCTGCCATACGGGGGCATCAGTGTTTCACAAACACATCTTGTTTTCTTGATTTTTTTCTTTACTTAGCACTTGTACCTTCTAGCATTCTAAACAGGAAGAATATTGTTACAGGAAGTTACCTGTGTATTTTAGGCTCACTTGATCAAAGATCAAGCCAAAAAGTTCAAGATTATTTGTATCCTGTATGAGCACACTGTAGGATCCTGTTTGACTTTCTGAGTTTTCTAGTAGTTACGTGAATGCATAAATCAATTTATGAACAATTTTAAGCAAAAATATTTTTATCTGAATCTTTTGCCTTTTATCAGTCAATGTTTTTATTTATTTAGAGCAAAGCACAATCTTCCAAAAAACCGCTATTCTGACGTATTATGTTTGGACCACTCTCGAGTCATACTCCAAGTCCTGAACAATGATCCCAGCTCAGACTACATTAATGCTAACTTTGTTGATGGTTATATGCACAAAAATGCCTACATATCAACACAAGGTGAGTGGTAAAAATACACAGCAGTGAGCTTCTGATGGAATAGATTGATGTAATGGTAAATTGATGACCAACTTTGGATTTTTTAGGTCCATTACCAAAGACCTTTGGAGATTTTTGGAGGATGGTATGGGAAAATCAGGTCATGGTCATTGTTATGACCACAAGGTATGTTTGGCAAATTGTTTCCAAAGCAGGTTAAAGTATATCTTACTTTGTAAATGTAAACTGCTAGATGTTGATTTTTTTTTATGATAATAGGTTAATATGCATCAATCACTAGAATCAAAGATTTATGGTTGGAATCATATGAAAAATGCTTTGTTAGAGCATATTTTGGAGGATATAAGGTGCCATTTATTAGGTTTTCACGAATACTCAAAATGTTTTCAAGATCCGGAAGATTCATATGTTGACAATTTAGATTTGTTAATTATTGTTCCTTGGGCCAAGATAGGCCACAAAAGAGATGTTTAACATACAAGTATGTTGGGAGAAATTCTTTTTCCCTAGAACTTTGTATGTAAGCTAGGCTACAATTTAATTTTATTCATCGTCATTTAGTTTAGATTCAGATAACCTGCAGTGTTAAGTCAGGGCCAGGGGTCCAAAGTTACACTTAAAAATATTATGAAATATTGCTTACACACCATGACTCAAAATTCATGGAGGAGTAATTATGATTATATGTATTTAACATGGCTAGGAAGAAAATGCCTTTTGACACTCAGGTGATTGCTAAGGTTCATAGGCCTCTTTTATTTTAATCTGTTGCATTAGATGTAATGATGTAGTTATTTGTTTGATAAAAAGATTTTATCATCTCTAACTAGTAGAGCAAGGGCAACAAAATGTGTAGGGCTGTACATGTAGAGTATGTTGTAATTTATCTATGGGGCTATAGAGCGAGGGTGAGCTAAGAGTGAAGGGACATGCATACAGTGTATATTATACAATTATGAACTCTTTCGGTGGTGAATTTTGTTTGTTCTTCACCAGAAAAATATTAATATTAAACGAGGCAAATATTGATATTTTTCTGGTGAATAACAAACTTTAGTCACCACTGAAATAGTCCATAATTGTTTTATTATATAGTAAGGATTTAAATAAATAAGAGATTGCTAAAGGCTACATGATGATACCATTTTCATTGAACCTCGGATCTGTCGTAAAAAAAAAAAAAAGTCCAGATTACAACTTTGCTGTGTGTAAGACATCGAAATGTATGGAAAATAATCCTGCGATAGACATGCCTAACATTTTTCCTGCCCAAATACACAGCTGGCTCCGGCTGTTGCAACCCTTGTTTACAACGTTGTTTGAGGTGTTGTTTGTGACATCACAATCACCACTGCACATGCACTGATCTTCCAGTGAATACGGCTTCAAATCCAGTGAATAATTATGTAGTATTATGAACTGTTTGCTTTTGTATAGATTATATAGGGACTATTTGTAGACTCAATAATAATGTCATACATCTATAGGGCTGTGGAGCGTGGACGAGCTAAGTGTGGTCAGTATTGGCCCCCAGATGAAGACGCCGAGGAACAATTTGAGGATTACCTTGTAATAAACACTCGTATGGAGGTATACCAGGACTACAATATATCATGGCTTTTCCTGCTTAATACAAAGGTAAGAAATCAGAAAGCTGTAAATCAGCATCTAGAGGGACTATTGAAGTACCAGGTGTCTGATAAATCAAGAACTGTACTAACATGTAGAGGGACTATTGAAGTACCAGGTGTCTGATAAATCAAGAACTGTACTAACATGTAGAGGGACTATTGAAGTACCAGGTGTCTCACCATTGAAAAAGAAATGCAACAAATACTTAACATCATATATGCTAAGGTTTAAATCATCAAGTTTTTGAAAGAAAATTTTCTCTGTTATTTTTTCCCCCTAATATTCTGTCTATGTATTTAATATATATATATATATATATATATATATATATATATATATATATATATATATATATATATATATATATATATATATATATATACATATATATATATATATATATATATATATATATATATATATTGTCTTTCATACCTTGATTGTTTGTTAAGTTTTTTGTATCTCATATGAACCAAAGTTTAGTTTTGAGAGAATAAAAGAATTGAATAGATATTCATAACAAGTATTACAAGTTAAATTGATGATAACTTATTGATTTTATTTCACCAAATAAAAGAACAATGTACATGTAATTGCTTGCAGACAAATGAATGCATACAGTTATGCAGATATTCTAATATTATTTAGCAGACAAATGATTCTCAGCAGATTTACTAATTGTTTTGTAGACAAATGAATCTCGGCAGATTTACCACCTTCAGTTTACTTCCTGGCCCGACTATGGGACCCCCAGCTCAGCTGCAGCGTTCTTGGATTTTTTGTTCAAAGTGCGAGCCTGTCAGGAGGAGGCAGTCAGCTCCTTAGGGTCCAGCTGGCAGGGGCATCCTCTGGGTCCTCCAATTGTAGTACACTGTAGTGCTGGCATTGGTAGAACAGGTAAACAATTTTATGCCCTTGAGGTGCGAGGCCCTCAGGTTGAAGGTGAGAGTTCCTCAGTTTGATGATGTGAAGCTCTCAGATTGAAGGTGCAGGCTTGGCCCTAGGATTAAGGTTTGAGGGCCTCAGATTAAAGATGTGAGGCTCTCAGATTGAAGTTGTGGCAAAATATAAAGAGCTAGGTTCACTTTATCCATAAAATGCCCAAATACCAATTAACTGACCAAGACCCAGTTGTCATTTCCTCAGAGAGTCCAGGTATTAAAAAACAGGCTTTGTGAAATTACAATTTCATCTTTAGCAAAGAATTAAAATATGAGCCCACCCCTCGATCCAAAAAATAAAACATATTTTACAATCTTTAGAAACAGTTCTTTCATTTTGTAATTGCACATTTTGGATCAGAAATTGGGCTGTATGCAAAATATTGATAAATGGCTCAAAATTTTGGTCATTTTTGAAGAATTTTTATGGCATCGAGCTCTTGAGCTCGAATGCCATGTAGCGGGCGACCAAACTTTACCCGACCAAATGTGTCAGTCCATGCAACTGCAAAAGAAAATAGCAATAACAATGCATCGATTTCTTTGAAAATGTTCTTTGAAAATGTTTACAGTGAATAATAGCTTGAAAATAAAATTGCATCAATTGTAGTATATCTACAAATAATTCTGTTGCATAAAAAATATATCCTGTTTTATTTTCACACAAGAAAAACGTAACAGTTTCTTGCGGATGAATTTCTAATGAAAGGCTGTGTTGAATGACATGAATTACCTTTATGAAGGAGAACCGTGTAAACACAAACAACTTAATAGGCGGTAAAATAACCACAATATTAAATTAACAGGGATGCTAGAAGACTAAAAGGATTGAATTTCCAAATCTAAACCTTACTTTTACAATCTTATAACCAATTTTATCATAAAAACTGAAGTTACTACTGTATTTCACCATTTCTTCCATATCGCATTTCACCGTATAGGCCTACCACGCCCGCTCATATCTCAATCGTAGTCCTAACAGAGCGAGTTACGGTTGTTGTTTAGATGCACTAAAACAATGCTTAGACATTGACAATTAGAATAATATTCATATAAATTCATTAAATCCTTGATAGTCTAAATAACTGAAAAAAGATGAGTTTGATTGTTTGATGGTGTCTAGTCAATTTGAACCCTGCTGTATTCGGACCATGGCATAATGCCCCAGACTGTAGTTTTGACATTTTGTTTAAAACTTAACATTTTTATTAGTCACTTATTTGACCTACTGCTATCTTCAAATTAAAAAAAAAATGTTTTGAAAATGGTTTTCATGTTCGATGCCATTGAAGCCTTTCAGGCTTTTGATTTAGGATTTGAGAATAATGATGCAATTTATGATGTCATAATACATGGACTAGTGAGAAAAATGCATCATTTGTAATAAATATGCAGTCATCAAAGGTCCAAGAAAAATTAAGTGTATTTTCAACCAAAACTGAGCAATCTTGATTTTTCAGTGTATTTTCAACCAAAACTGAGCAATCTTGATTTTTCAGAAATTTCTATTGCCAAAATATGCCCAAAGTGAATTTCATTCTTCATTTTCATGCCCTCAATTTGAAGGTGTGATGTCCTCAGATCAGTGTGGCAGAATAAGTTTTTCTTTCCTGCCCTCAGATTGAAGATGGAATATAGTTGTACATGTATTGTTTTGTCTGACACAGGCTTGGCAAAAACTTAATGGCATTAGAGATACTCCATATTCTATCAAGGTGAAGGACAAGATAATGCTCAGGAGTCATAATCAGGTCAAGAACTGGCATTAAATGAAATGGTCAATCACAGATTTGCCACTGTGTTTCATAAAGTGACTAATGTAAAAATGTCTTGCACCATAAAGTAAATTGTTTTCAACAATAAATATCCTCTGCCAATCCAATATTTGTAAAGCTTTTGACACATTGTGCATTTTAAATACATTTAGGTATAAGTTCTTTCTAAATGAGCTCATTGTGAGATTTTCGTTATAGGCACATTCATCACAACTGATGTCAGTCTGCGTAGACTTGAACATATACAGACAGTCAACATTAGAGACACAGTCCGCCGCATAAGGTCACAGAGAGCCTTTAGTATACAAATGCCTGACCAGTATGTGTTCTGTCACTTCGCCATCATTGAACATGGCATGAGAGAGGGCGTTATAGGAGATGTGGATTGGACTGGGTTTGACGATAGCGACAGTGACCTGAGTGATTGAGGAGGGCATTTCTAATAATGTGTCACATCATATGGCATGTCATGTGATATCTCATGTGATTTGACATTTCATTTGGTATATCATGTGATCTGTGATGATCATGTGATCTGTGATGCCATGTGGTGCAGTTTTGTTAATATTTTCTCAGTTTTAAGTGATTAGTGTATTTATGTTATTTTTTATTAGTTTACTTGGTATTTTTTGTAGTACTTTTGTTACTTTTGTATTAGCAGTGGAAAAAAAAGATTGTTATTTTTGTATTAAATCTTTTTTGGGTAGCTCATCATTGTTTTCAAAAGAATCAATTGCTAGTCCTTCAGTGGAATTAACCATTGGACATATTTACTTGTATGTTTCTTTAATTTATATGATAAAATTAATTTATAAGTGCATCATCATTTTGTCCACATCTTTAAAGGTGCCAATTTTCTATCATTAATACAATATTTGTCAACTAAGTTGACATTTTCATAGATCTGATGGTTTTGCTTTATAGTGTTTGTACAAGGTATCTTACACTTTTAACACTGTGTTACAGTGTATAATTGTGGATATCTCAGAAAATCTACATATTATGCTTTTCATCAATTAACGTTAATTTTGTGTGATGGAAGTGTAAAAAAAAAAAATTAACAAAAACCATCATTTTGTTTACTGATTTATGGGGGGGGGAGGACCCAGAAAAACTGAATAAAATGGACAAATTTACGATGTCAGGTATTAAATGACAAGTTCACTTTTCTAAAAATTATTTACCTATGTTGGCAAAGACTGTGATTTTCTAGTTATCGTCTATATTTAGCTGTTAAATGATTTTCAAAAGCTTTGCACTCTTCTTACCAAGTCTCAATAAGGGACTAATAGAAAAAATTGTATCCAATCATTATTATGAACATAATTATTGCATTTGTCAGAATGTTTACTAAGACATGCTGTATGCTAAATGAGGCTTAATTTGTCATGCTAAGAAAAATATTTCTTGTAAATCTAAGATTCTGAGTCTTAAATTTCTTCGCATAGTAACAGTGTTTCCTGTATTGAAGTATTACTTAGTATACTATTGTTCCAAATGCCTAATACACTCCAGCCTTGTTAATCTAGATACTTGTGTTCCCCAGCAAATCATCCCAGATTAATGAAGCTTCCGTATTACTGAAATGGACCTTTTATAATTGGTAAATATAATTTTTATTTTTTTCGATGGGAAGGTGAAGCTTCTGGATAATTAGTGTCCGGATTAATGAGGCTCCACTGTAATTGCCTTTGTATTAAACATGTATATTAAATATTAATACAGTTACTCATGTTAACTACATACATGTACCAGACTTGTAACCAGATTAATGGTGTCATAACAGTATTTGGTTGGAGGTTCATGTCAAAACATGGTCGAAATAATTCCTGAATCTCCCCTACTGTTTCAGGCTTTTCTGCGTGAGACTTGGACTAATTTTTTTTTATAGGATAAAAAAACTGTATGTAAACTTTCTTATTATACCAGATTTATTAAAATTTTGGCATGCTGTATTTGAGGGGAATGATTAGGCCCTGCACTTGATTTTCAAGCACCTACTTAACTTTGGCCAAAGCAAAGTTGTGTGACTTGCTGGATGGCTATGTGTTTGTTTTGGGTACTAAAATATATACAGAGAATTGATTTACAACATTTGAAAAGGAAAACTCTCAAAGGTTTGTTTTTAAATTATACCACACACTCAAAGGTGTGCATTTTTATTAAGAATATATAGCCGAATTCATTACTGTAGTGGCACCTATTTGATTCAAATGTTTTAGTGTATATATTGATTAACAATTACTGTCTTGTGAAATCCAGTAATAATTAACATTTTAACTTTCTCATTTGATAAACACCTGAAAGTCAAATGTACATGTCCAGGAAGATAGTTTGGCTACAAAAAAAGTTAATAAGACTAGTATACATAGTAAAGAGAAAACTGTATATGGAAATCTGAAAATATAGAATTCTCTAAAAGACAATCAAATATGCTGTGTGCCTCCTTCAAAAGAACTTTTTATAAAGGAAAATTAGTTATAAAGGTTTCTTTTAGTGCACAGAAAAATCATTTTGTTCACTAAGAATGTGAGAAGGACTAAAATTATATTGTTTAAGTTTTTTGAGTTTTGTAAGAAATCTTGATAAATTTTGATTTTTTCATTGTGTACTTTTAATGCATGTATGTATAGAATTAAATTTCCCCTTTCATATTATCGTGATATACAACAGGTATTAGTGTGCTGAAAGAACTATATACGGTAAGGGCGTATTCCTGCCCCCATATTAGTCAAATTTTGAAAAACTCTTGAAATGAGCAAAAGTGCATATAAATGTATAAAATAATCCAAATTAAGATAATATATTATAAAATTGGAAAAAATAGTTGGCTTTTCTCGTCTCTGTGACGTCACAAACTATTTGGATTTCCGTTATTTTTAAAATAGAGGCCAAAATGCACAGAGTTTGTTCAATTTTGACTATAGTATTTATAGAGCGCAAGCTTGCTCAGGTACCATATTCACATATTTCATTGATATTATCATTCTACACATTATATCAAAAGATCTAGTCTGAGCAGACCTGCGCTCGATAATTTCCAATCAAAATACCGACGTAAAATACACTTTTCTCTCAAAATTATTGCAATTTTGAATTTACGTCATTTTATTGACGTCATATCTAACTAATGATGTCATAATTGATAAAAATATTTAATGCTTTGAAGTCTGCAAAAATCCACCTGGTTTAGAACATAATTAAAGATTTCTCCATCAAAGTTTTATTTCGGGGGCAGATACTGGCCACTACAGAATATAGTCCTTTGTAGTCAGTGTTTCTTTTCAGAATAATACAAATACAATCATGCATGTGGAGATCAATAATTAAATATGCAAGTTTTATAAACATTAGCATTAAAATATAAGCCTCAAGGCTTAATTAAAGGAAAACAATAACTGGTCAACTAGGGTACATAACCAGTAAACTGGTCTAAACCACTCTTCTCTCTAAATGCTATTTTTTCCAAACTCTGTACAGCTTAAATGTGTAAACTTGGACATGTATAATTTATGTCAGAAGAAAAATTAGACTTCCTACTGGTGTTTAGTGGATATAAGAGACATGGATTTCTACTGGTTTTAGTGGATAAAAGCTAGGGAAATGGGTTCCTACTGATTGAAGTGGATACAAGGGAAATGGTGGATAGAATTTTTGGGGGGGTTAAATTTATTTGATTTTCAAAGAACATGTTAAAGTAAGAGTATAAAAAAGTTAAAGGAGATGCACAGTATAAGGTGACAGTCCAACATTTTTCAATATTCTCTAAACTGATTCCATATGAATTAGATTTTTACCACTGGGGGCTCTAAATTGCAGAAATTCTTATATTTTGTCTTTGAAAATCTTCATACATTGGATGTGTCACCAAATCAAATATTCCTCATTTTATTTCATTTTTTATCCAAAGACATGTAAGTCCCTTAAATAAAAGATAACATTTTGACTTTGTTTAGTAAATAGAAAAGTGGGTTTTCTATTTCCATTTTTATTAATTGAAAAATTTAATTATTGATTTTCAAACATTGATTTTTATAAAAGTCTGCATAGAGTGATAGACTTCTTCAGAAATGTACAGTGAAGGTTTTGAGATACGTGTAACTGAATATTTTCTCTAAGTTTTCTCGTATATTGGTATGAACTTAGTGGTAGTATTAAAACAAATTAAGAAAGCAAAGCTTTGCATTAAAACTATAATCCTGATGTTTTCCGAGTGTATCTGCATGAACCTATAGGGAGTTAAATTTACATTCCAACTTTTTATTTTATTAATCTGTACAAATTATTGGTATTTTGATTTTTTTTATAATAATATCAAACATATTATTAAAATATAGCCTTAAAAAAATTTCCCCCCCAAAATTATTATTTAAAATCATACTCTTGAGTATATCTACCACCAAAACTTGGTCAGAAATGTCATTTAATAAGTAAAAATGTATAATACATGTACATAATTATGGTTTTCAATGTTATTTGCATCTCATTTTAAAATTTTTATTAATGAACAAAAATAAAGCCATGTAATTTTAATCCAGTTTCAAAGGTTATTCAAATTAAATACAAATTAGAATTAAAAATTAATTTTTAAATTTTCAAAAAGTGAAGTTTGATATGGGCCAGTAGTACACGTTGTGTTGTAATTGTCGTCGTGTTTTAATTCTGTGACTGTGTTAATTATTAATCACCATGTCTATCAATATTGTCATTTCATGATACATGTAAAAGAATAAAGTAATAAAATACAGTATTCCATTGGCCTTGTTGAATTGATCTGAAGATTATTTTTAGGTCACCTGAGTCACTCAGGTGACCTATTGCTATCGGTTTTTGTCCGTTGGCGTGTGTCGTGCAATGTGCGTTAACATTTGAACATTTTTAGCTTTTTCTCTGAAACCGCTTAACCAATTTCAACCAAATTCAGCATATAGCATCTGTGGGTGAAGGGGAACAAAAATTGTGAATTTCATGGTTCCTGCCCCCTGGGGCCTGAGGGTTGGGGCTAAAACCACCAAAATTAATGCAATCTTTAAAAATCTTCTTCTTTACTCCTGGACTTCAAGCAGTCAAACTGTTGGCATGATTGTAATAAGCATTGAGCCCTCTACAAAAATTGTGAAATTCATGGCCCCAGGGTCAGGGATTCTGTTGCTGGAGTATATAGATCATATAGTGAAAGTGCATTATTTCTTTGAAAATCTCCTTCTCTGCTCCTGGGTATTAAATAAAGAAACTAAGTACATAGTTATGATATGTTTCATTGTACCAGTCAAGTGTCAGATGCATTTTCAGCAAAAGAATGACCAGGTTAATGTTTTTGGAGCAAGTTCATTCTTTAAGTAATGATAAGCCCTATGGTGACCAAACTTGCATATATGATGCATCTAGGGGTGCATGCACACCACCAGACTTGCTGCAGATGCTGGATCTGACCGATATTTTCTAAATAAGTGACCATATTAAATTAAGTTTTTAAAGCTTTTTTTTAATAGTTTAAGGTCATTTTCAAGTAACTCAAGATCTTTGGAGACTAAAATTGCATGGATGATACATCTAAGGATGCACACTACTGACTTATTCAGATGCTGGATCTGACCTACATTTTACAGATGAATGACCAAGTGAAAAGTTTCAGGAGCAGGTTCATTCTTCAGTATATACTGTAAGCCCATTGGTGATCAAACTTTCATGGATGATGTTATTGATGTATCTAGGAATGCACAATACCAGACTTGCTTCAGAACCTGGATCTGACCTACATTTGTGGATGGATGACCAGGTTTCACATGCAAGGAACTATAAGCTTTATGGTGACTTAACTTGCATGGATAATGCATCGAGGAATGCACACTACCATTAAGGATGCATCTGACCAACATTTTCCAAATGAGTGACCATTTTAAAGTTTTTTGTGCAGGTTAATTTTAACTTAAATCTCTACCAGGACCAATTTAAATCCATGTATGCTGCATCAAAGCATGTACACTACCAGACTTACTTCAGAAACTGGATTAGACATGCATTTCTGGATCATTGAAGAGTTAAATTTTTGGATGAAGTCCATTCTCAGGTATGCATTTGTTGACTTGACTTCCATGGATGATGCATCAAGGGATGCACTCTATCAGACTTGCTACAGTTACTGAATCTGACCTACATTTTCCATGAGATGAAAAGGGTGTTAGTTTCATAGCAATTAGTCCAGTTCAAAGTAAATGCAAGACTTGTGGTGACAAAACTTGCATGAATGAAAAATCTTGGGATGCTGGATCAGAACATGCATTTTCTGAATGAGTGACCAGACTAAAGTGTTTTTGATTGATTGTATGTTGTTTTACATCCCATTCGAGAATTTTTCACTCATATAGAGATGTCACCATATACTGGTGAAGGGCTTCAAATTTTGACCTTTAGTTGCGGCCGAGATTCAAACTCACGACCTCCCGATCATGGAGTGAGTGAGTGCTCTACCGACTGAGCTACCGTGAACGGTCTAAAGTATTTTTGAAGAGGTTCATTCTCAGATTATTATTAGCCCTATTCTGACTAAACTTGGAAGGAATATGACTTGGTTCAGATGCTGAATCTTATATTTCTGGGTTACGGAACAGAAAAAGACTTTGGAGCAAATCCATTCCAAAGTGACTAAAACTCCTACCCAGACCAAACTTGCATGAATGTTGCATCTAGGGATGCACACTACCAAAATATTTGTTAAATGTGAGACTTTGCCTTACTTAAAGATAACATTAGTTGAGATGAGCTATGTAATCTTTGATTACTCATGTTTTTGTTTTATTGAAATTAAACTAAAACTGGAGGAATAGAATTTCACAGAGATTTCTATTTCTAATAATCATTCTAAATCTTGAACTGACACAAAGAATAATAAATTTTAGTGTACCAGTACTCTACTTGAGTATTTAATTGAAAATGGACTAAAACTGTAGGTGAAGCATTTGAGAAAGGAAATCAAAGCTTACATAGCTCATTTTAATTAATGAATCTATCAGTAAGGCAAAACCTCACACCAAACAAATGTTCTAGTAGTGTGCATCCCTTGATGCAACATTTTTGTAAGCTTGGGTAAGGATTTTTAGATTCTTGGGAATGGAATTGCTCCAAAAAGTTTCCATTAAATCACCCCAAAAATGAAAGTAAGAAAGCACCCTAAGCAAGTCTGGTGAGCATTCCTAGATGCATCATCCATGAACATTTCTTTAGTACAGGGCTTTTAGTTTCTTTAGAATGAACCTCTTCAAAACACTTTAATTTGGTCACTCATCTGTAAAATGTAAGTTAGATTTCAAATCCAAAGCAGGTCTGATACCTTTCATCCCCAGATGAATCTTCCATGCAAGTTTTGTCCAGATAGGGCTTATAGTTACTTGGGAATGGATCTGCTCCAAAACTCTGAACTGTCCATTCACCTGGAAAATGTAGGTCAGATCCGGCATCGAAGTCTAGTAGAAGGCATGCCTAGATGCATCATCCGTGCAGGTTTAGTCATCATAGGGCTTTTAGTTAATTGGGAATGGACCTATTCTAAAAAATTAACCTGGTTCCTCATCCAGAAAATATAGTTTTGATACAGCATCCAAAACAAGTACTGTATCAGCAGCTTTCATCTAAAAATAGATTGGCAATGCAAGTTTGGTACAGGCAGGTCTGAATGTTACTTTGGAATGGATCTGCTTCAAAAACTTTAACCTGTTCATTCAGCTGGAAAATGTAGGTCAGATCCAGGCTCTGAAGGATTTGGGGTAATGTTCATCTCAAGACATCATCTATGCAAGTTTGGTTAAAGTAGGGCTTATAGATACTTAAGATTGATAACTGCTCCAAAAACTTTAATCTGGTTACTCATTCAGAAAATAAAGGTTAGATCCAGCATTCAAAACAAGTCTGGTAGCTTTCATCTGAAAATAAATTGGTCATGCAAGTTTGGTCCAGGTAGGGCTCATTGTTACTTGGGAATGATCTGCTCTAAAAACTTTATCCTGTTCATTCACCTGGGAAATGTAGGTCAGATCCAGCATCTGAAGAAAGTCAGGTAATAAACATCTCTTGACATCATCTATGCAAGTTTGGTCGAGGTTGTGCTATTTGGGCATACTGATAATTAAGATTGATACCTGCTCCTAAAACATTGACCTGGTCATTCTTAAGGAAAATATTGGTGTGAAAATGCAGCTTCTGAAACCTGACAGGTACAATGAAACATAAATATAATAGATCCAACATCAATGCAACTCTGATCAATATAGGGCAAAAAACACAAGAAAGAAGTCTGATACAAAAACTTTAACCTGGAAGGGATTATATAAGCTTTCCCAACTTTGTTGAGGTGAGCTAAAAATTGTTCAGAAACAGGTGGAAACAAGACGTGTTTGTGAAACACGTATGGGTGAAAGCCCTAGCAGCAACCATTGAATAGATATGGAAAAGGTTAAAGTTTTTCAGAAGTAAGTGAAACATCAAGGTCAAAATTAATGGTGCCCAAGGAAAGGCCTTCTCACAACAAATACACATGTGAAATATGAAAGCCATAGCATAAATTGTTCAAGAGTTATGGCCAAGATTAAAGTTTTTCAAAAGTGGGTCAAAATCCTAGGTCAAGGTCAATGGATTACAATGGAATGTTATGTCACAAGGAATGGACATGTAAAACATGAAAGCCCTACCACCAACTGTTCAAAAGTTATGGCCAAGGTTAAAATTTTCCAAAAGTAGGTCAAGCTCCAATTGTTGGTATCCAAAGAAAGGTCTTGACACAGGGATTAAACATGTAAAGTATGAAAGCCTTAGCACCAATTGTTCAAAAGTTATGGCCAAGGTTAAAGTTCGGTAAAATTTTGCAAAACTGGGTCAAACTCCAAGGTCAAGAGGTCAAATATGATGGCACCCAAAGAAAGGTCTTGTCACAAAGAATACACATGAAATTTGAAAGCCATAGCTCCAACCAATCAAAAGTTATGGGCAATGTAAAAGTTTTTAGCTGACAAACAGCTAGACAAACGGACGGACAGGGCAAAAACTATATACCCCCAAATCTTCGATTATGGGGGCATAAAAACAGATGGGTGATGGACACCATAACTCTGGTCTTTGTACATTGAATTAATAATATATACATGTTCATGTATATCACCAAATGTTTTCTATGAGTGGCAGCCTTACTTATTGATATTACAGGTCTTCACAGAGAAGTATCAAATCCAGTTCTCTACTGCTTTCATTTAATAAGTTATAACAATTACAGTGTGCTTTGTCTTAACAAAAGTACCAAATTATCAACAATACTTATTATATGCATGAAAAAGCTTTCAAGATGGTTATCATGTGAATTAATGCCTTCTATTACTCAGTACATTTTCAAACTAAGTTATAAAAATAAAACATTATTCCAATGTTAAGTATTTCTCCTTGAAATCACACTCATTTCAAACATTCTATTTACTTCTTTTAAAGTAACTTAGAAGATTGTTTGATTTAGCAGTCTTTGTGCTTTGTGTTTTTGTGGTTTGTTGATTCCTTACACTATTTTTGGCTTGTTTTACATAAGCCCATTCAGCTTTGCTTTCTTCCTCTTTTAACAATTCTTCCTGAATGTTTGTTGGTAAGCTTAAGAAGACATCCCTGTCATATCCTGCTGGGACAAATGAGGCTGTGACAGTCTCAGTCACTGGAGTGTTTGATTTAAAATCTGTGTCATTGCTTCCACCTGGCTGATCTGTGCATGGCTTTTCACATAAACTCTCTGTCCCACAGTGTTTTTCATGCTGATGTTCACTTTTAATTGATACACTTTCCATTTCACCATTAACAGAATTAGTACTGGGTGGAAATTTAGACCTGGCTTCCTTTATTTCTTTCTGGATGTCTGGAGGAAGAAGAGAAAACACTTCTGCATCAATATAATCCAGCTGATCTGGATTTACAGACTGAGAGGCCTTAAAACCCAGCTGATCTGGATTTACAGACTGAGAACCCAGCTGATCTGGACTTAAGGACTGAGAGGCCTCAGAGGGAGCCCTTTTAAGCCTCTTACTGAAAAAGCCCGACTCAGGCAAGGATTTACGCTTGGTGGATGATTGACAAATGACACTATTTTTATTCCTTGGACTTTCTATAGAAATTGTATCTAGTAAGATGGGTGTGTTTGCAGTAGGCATATTACTGACATCTAATTTTCTTGAATTATTTAAGTTATGATCAGTACTTGTTGCAAATCTAGAGGAAGAGCATTCCTTGTCCATCTGACTTGCAGTACAAGTCAGTTCCTCACTACACACAGTTTTATTATTGGATTTGGATTCATTAAGACAGGAATCCGTGTTATTGTTCAAAGCCCTGTGGTTGTTCTTGTCCTTTTTTGGAGAAAAGAAATGACTGATGGAGTTTTTGTTTCTCTCTATTAGGTTGCAGAATGCCACATTGATAAGTGTCAAGTGAAATGGCATCCTTATATCCACCAGCTTGTTAAATAAATTCATTACAATGACTTCTAATTTACCACAGGTTTGCTGTTGGTTCTCTGAAAAATAAAAATACAGTTATAAATAAATTTTCAAAATTTTCTATATACAATATACATATATATCACTTGTCAACTCTCACAGTAAATGATCTAATATACTGTAAGTCACTTATTATTTGCGAGAACTTTATTTTCGCGTAATTACATGAGACAATGTGCTCGCCAAAATTTCATTCTCGCAAATATTACCTTTCCTTAAGGTTATAAAGAGCAATAACCACAATTCGTGAAAATCTTGTAACGCTTATATAGAGTCAAAGAATATCTCGCAAAAATTAGGTGTTAGGAAAATTTAGTAATCTACAGTAGGTTAAAATGTCAGGTCACATACAAAGTTGTTCAACAATATATGTAGCCAAAACATAACATCAAAAGACCATCTTATCATGTAAATGCACAATGAACTTTAATTGATATCACACTAACAACCAATACATGGATGTAAACCTGGGGTGAAAGCTTATAGCAATTGTCAATAAAAGAAAGGAATTAACGTAACATAAATATACTTTATATATATATGTGTGTACCTTTAGTTAGCTTTGAGAGGACATGACTTGGAATGTTACATTGTTTAGATTCCCTGTTGAGGTATTTGTTTTCTGCACTCAGTCTACGAATGGTCAATCTTACTGTTCCCGCAATTCTCCCATCTTCTACTAGCCTACAAAAAGTGGACTCATTTTTATAAATTATAAAAGTCTACTAAGAAAACTAAGTTATGGACCTTTTTTGAAAGCTAAAAAATTAATTTGGGATTAAACAGAATTGTGAAATCAGGTCGATAAATCTAACCAAGCAATGTTGTTATATAAATGATATTTACTACAGAAATCAGGATTAATACATGTATATCAATGTGTAAGACAGAACATGTTGAAAGAGGGGATTTTATGTGCATTGGCAGGGGGGATTATCAATTGTTTGTCTTTTATATCTTTTTTTTTTATTGATCTACCTATTTGATTTTAGGAAAAAAGGACTTACGGATAAAGAAATAAAAAGAACATTTACAGAAAATTTAACAGAACATTTGCTGAATGTTTTTCAATTTCGTATACCGGTACTTTGAAAATAAACATTATTTTTTCTTCAGAAGTGAAGATTACTCTGTATAGACTACAGCTAGATCATAAATTTTGCTGCACATTATACACACTATTTTGTGACCCCCCCCCCTCCCCGTTTTTCAAGCCCATAAATGGGGTGTGTATTAAAAACAACTGCATATTCTATTTGGAAAAATACAGTAGTAATCTGTTGTAATTGCCATGAAGGATGAATTTATTGGGTTTTTTTTCCTAAAGCCAGAAAGAACTACCAACTGTTACCATGTGTATATCAGTGCCATGATTCATACATGTATGTTAAGCATACAATTATAATGCAATCAAAGAGATCTGAATGACTTTTTACCACATTTATATAATTTAAGTGTCATGGAATTTTTAAGCAGAAATAAGTACATGCATGACATGTGAATCTACAGTAAACATACCTTATCATTAAACTCTTGATTAGTTCTTTAATTTTCTGATTTGCCTCTTTCACAGAGCAGCAGCTTTTGAATGAATCTTCATCACTTAATGTCTGCCAAAGATTTAAACATATGAATAAATATATCCAAATGTTACTTTCTTCACTCTAACATGATCGTGTGACCATAAGTAGTAAACCCATTCAAAACAAGAGATGTTTGTGAAACACTTATGCGCCCCCTCCCCTGGACATACATTATAGGGTGCACAAGCCTTTATTATGAGCAGTGTACATTATGGACAGAGTACATGGATATGAAATTGACCTTTTGAACTTAATAGGGGTCATCTACCGGTACTATCTGAGATGCATCAACCAGAAATAGTCTTCTACATCACATCTTTGGCAAAAACATGTCTCTCATGATACCTTTGCAGAGATAATGAACGGAAAATAAATAATTAGGATTTTTCTAAGTCCAAGGGGCATAACTCTGTCAAAAATTGCTCGATAGTACCCAAAACAGAATTGACCTAGATATTTTTATTATAAATCTGTATACCAAATTTCAGTATGTGCAACCTCTGCAAAGAAAATGAATGGAAACTGCAAATAATTGGAATTTTTCTAAGTACAAAGGGCATAACTCTGTTAGAAATTGCACAATTGTACCCAAAACAGACCTGACCTAGATACTCTTATGATAAATCTGTATACCAAATTCCATTTCAGTATGTGCAACCTCTGCAAAGAAAATGAACGGAAACTGTTGGTGGACCGACAGACTGACCGACCGACAGACAGCAGTAAAGCAATATGCCCTCCCTTCTTCAAAGGGGGGCATAATAACAGTCTAATAACACTGTATCCAGTTTATTTTTAGCTGATTCTGAAATATTTCAATTTAATGATATTTTATTTGTCCCCTAAGTAACTGTTCTCCTTGACTGTACCTGTGGTTTGATGATATTTATTTGTACCCTGTTACACTGATTATACCTGAGGTTTGCTGTATGGAATGACAGGACTGTTATCAATTCCTTGACTGAGCTCTTTAATAGAGGCAGCCATATTGTCCCCTAGTTCCCTCCTCAGATCTTCTAGAGGGCACTGCTGTAGGTCTGTCATGGTAACGACACCAAATTCAGCAAGCTTCTTAGCAGTGGCTGAACCAACACCTAATACAAAAGTATAATAGTGACAATTTTTTTTTTTTTTTTTTTTTTTTTTTTTAATTCATAGATTTTATTTGTGCTTTCACATATACAGACTATACAATATATTAGTTAACATTCAATACATACTTTCATTTCTACTGCCTGATACTTCATATTAAATATAATTTCTTTGTAGTAAATATATGTTGCATTTCAAAATCACATTAAAATTGTATATGACATATTGTACATTTTAATGAATATTCACTGTGAAAGCTTTATATACAGAGATAAAATTAAAGAAAGGAAAAAGGGGGTGAAAGGGTGCAAAAAAAGTGAGGTGGGGGGAACAGTATTAAGTATTTTAACATACTTGTACATTTGTATATAAACTTGAGAAAAATAAATACATTATATCATATCACAAATAATTTTCCAATATTTTTCATATTCTGAAAATTTACAGTTTCTTAAAAGTATAACTTTTTCGACTAATATTCTATCCACAATATTTTTTTCTAGCATTGAGATGCTTAGTTTAGGCACATTTTTAAACCTACTAGCAAAAATAAATTGCTTGACAGTAAGTATTAATATATTGTGTAGTCTAAACATGTTTTTGTTGTTGAATTTGCCAAAAAGTATATCCTTTCTATCAAAATTAATGGTAAAATGAAACTTATTTATAAACCATTCCTCAATGTGACACCATATTTTTTTAACGCAGTAACACTCAAAAAATAAGTGTTCAATCGTTTCGACATCTTGTTTACAAAAGGAACATACAGGTGAATCAATTAGTTTGAGATTGTAAAGGTATTTATTTGTTGCAATAATCCTATGCAGAATTTGAAATTGCATCCACTGAAATTTTGCTTCTTTTGTTACTTTAAAAGGAAGTTCAAATATTTTATTCCAGTCTATATCGCCAAAAAATATTCCATTATTTTCCCATTTTTCTAGTGCCTTAATTGCTTCCTTTTTCTTCTTAATGAGTAAACTATACATGTCTTTACAGCCTTTTGTACTTTTATAAAAAATATAAAGTGAATTAGGGATAAAAGGTCCAGTTTCTCTTTTTTCAATATCCATACTTTTCAATGTTTTTAAAACAGCTACTTTTAAACCTGCATATTCTACAAAATTTGTTTTTACGTTAAGATTTGTGAGGTACTCAAGGCTTACAAATTTTCCTTCAGAGTCAAACAGATCTCTTACAAAAACAAAGCCTGCATCGAAATAACTTTTCAAAAATATGGATGAGTTGTTCATTTTAATTCTTGAATTAAACCATATATGTTCATGAAGAATTTGCATATTATTTTGACCAGAGTCAATGATCTTTACCCAATTAAGTAAAACCTCTTTCCAAAACTTGTTACTTATTTTATTACACATATTAAAAGTAAAGTCTAAACCTCTTACCCATAGAGATTCAACTTTTATTCCTAATTCTGATTCAAGAAGTTTTAGCCATTTTGTATCTGAGTTAATTAGTCTTCGGATCCATGTTGATTTTAACGCACATAGAAAATCTACATATTCAATCATTTTCAACCCCCCATTTCTATAATCTTGAATCATAACATTTTTCTTAACCTTATGAATTTTACTTCCCCATAAAAAGTAGTACAGGTCTTTCTCAAATTCGTCTAGGAGTTCCTTATAAGGGTTCGGAATAGTCAATATCAAATGGTTCATTTTTGGTATAATCAGGGATTTAATCACTGCTAATCTACCAACTGGAGTAAGTTTTCTTAACTGCCATTGTTTTATCAACTGCTTTATTTCATTTAATTTTGAGGGGTAATTCAGATCAACCATTTCATCTAAATTAATAGAAAATTTTACACCAAGAAGATCAAAAGTAGAATTATTCCAATCTAACTTCCATCTCGAGTGATGAAAAACTTCTTTGGAAAATTTTTTACTGCCAATCCAAACCATTTTAGTTTTAGTGAAATTAATTTTCAGACCAGATATAAGTGCAAAATAGTCAAGTTCTCTTAATATACCATCCATAGACTGTGGTGATCCATCAGATATAATTGAAGTATCATCAGCATATTGTGAAAGTTTATATTCCTCCCCATCAATTATAATTCCTTTTATGTCTTTATTATTTCGAATCAGAATCCCAAGAACTTCAGCACAAATTAGAAAAAGATATGGGGAAATTGGGTCCCCCTGTCTACATCCCCTTTGAGGGAACAGGTAGTCAGAAGAAATTCCATTCTGTATTACACATGATTTAATTCCATTATAAAAAGTTTGAATCCAATTTTTAATTGACTTCCCAAAATTAAAAAAGTCTAATGTTTGGTATATAAACTTCCATGATATAGTGTCAAAAGCTTTTTCAAAATCAATTAACATTAATAAGCCTGGAATCTGCTTTTGTTCTGTGTAATGCATTAAATCATAAACCAGTCTAATATTTTCACCTATGAATCTTCCCTTTAAAAAGCCAGTTTGGTCCTTATTTATTATTTTATTCAATACAGTTTTCAATCGTTCAGCAATACAGCCTGAGGCTATTTTATAAATCACATTCAACAAACTGATTGGGCGCCAGTTTTTTAAGAATTGTTTTTGTTTTCCTGGTTGTGGTAGGCAAGTTATTATACCTAACTTATTTGATTCAGTAAAGTGTGATAATTCATATGAGTTGTTTATTGCTCTTGTAATAAAGGCACCTATATTCTGCCAAAAGAATTTGAAAAATTCGCAAGTAAAACCATCTGGTCCAGAACTTTTCTCATTTTTCATATTTTTCAAGTAATTAAGGACTTCAGAATTGGTCAATGGGCCTTCAAGACTTTCTGATTCTTTTTTATTTAATTTTGGGACATCATATATTTTTAATTTGTCATGAATACTTCCAGAATCCACATTCTCCCTACTTTTATAAAGATTTTCATAGAACATTTTAACTTCATTCAAAATATCAAATTGGTTAAAAATAATTGTTCCATCATCCTTTTCAATTTAAGGTATAACTTTACTCTGATAGTTTCTTGACTCTAGACTGGTAAAATATTTTGAAGGTTTTTCTCCTTCTTCTATCCATTTTACTTTTGACCTAATACATAATAGTGACAATTTGTCATAAGAGCATATGCATGTATATGTGTATTATTTTAACATTCATTATAATAGTTTCAAAAACATTTGTACATTGACATTTGACTGTCAAATCTTTTATGATTATGCCTCAGAATAATATAATATACTCAAAAAGAATACAATAGCTGAAAAACACCATCAAAATTGATATTCTAAAACTAAAGTTGTCTTAGCAGGCTAGATACCCCCCCCCCCCCCCTTCTTGCATAATCAAAGCATGTGTCTAATTAAGAATCAATAAATATTTACATTCAGTGAAAATTTCTTTATGAAATCCATTGTAAATCTAAAACATTCAATACACTATAATAAACACGAAAACCTTGTCACTGTGCAGTAGAATACACAGTAGGAACTACAGGCATTTTCGATACTCTAGGAACACCAAAATGTATACATGTATTGGTTTAGCTCAATTTAAATTAAAACAATTACCCTAATAAATTATTGTAAAAATATAACAAGAGGCCCATGGGCCACAATGCTCACCTGAGTAACTTTGGCAATGCTGTTCTTTACTAGATTTCCCCCTTGGAATACTTATTGTGGCCCCGCCCTATCCCCGGGGGTCATGATTTTAACAATTTAAAATCTACACTATCCCAGAATGCTTCCACATAAGTTTCAGTTTTTCTGGCCCAGTTGTTCTTGAGAAGATTTTTAAAGATTTTTCTTACATATTTCAATGTAAAACTTGGATTCCCTATTGTGGCCCCGTCCTACCCCCGGGGGTCATGATTTGAACAATTTAGAATCTCCACTACTCCAGGATGTTTCCACATAAGTTTCAGCTTTTCTTGCCCAGTGGTTCTTGAGAAGAAGATTTTTAAAGATTTTTCTTATATATTTCAATGTAAAACTTGGATTCCCTATTGTGACCCTGCCCTACCCCCAGGGGTCATGATTTAAACAATTTAAAATCTACACTATCCCAGGATGCTTCCACATAAGTCAGGGTTCGACACTAACGTTAGTCTCAGACTAATACATTTTCATTCGGACTAATAAAATATGTGGCTAATTAGTCCGAACGGACCAAGAAAAATTTCTGTAAAACAATATGAATAAATTACCGATGTCGGACTTTTACTGGAAAACCCCGCATGTATTTTTAGATTTCTAGCTTTTGGCGGGTAGTTACGCAATACCGGGTCAATTCAGCCTTAATTTTTCGACTGATCGGTATGAAGTATAAGGATTTAGCGATCATGATTTAGTATGACACTTTTAAGAAAGATGTTGGACATTTTGGATGTAATGCAAAGGGGGAAAAAACGAGTACAATCATACTTGCTGATAGCGAGATTTCAACGAATCCGTGGAATAATATATTTCACGTAAATACTTTGTTTACGTATATTAATTGTCACGTTAAATTAATGTTAAAAAACAGTGATGTTCCTTTTTTTTGACGGACTAATAAAATCGCGTGCGGACTAGTAAAAGTGATGAAGCACTAGTCCGGCTGGACTAAAGCCTTAAAAAGTTAGTGTCGAACCCTGTAAGTTTCAGCTTTTTTGGCCCAGTGGTTCTTGAGAAGATTTTTTAATGACCCCACCCTATTTTTGTCTTTTCTTGATTATCTCCCCTTGTAAGGGGACTTGGCCCTTTATTTTAACAATTTAAAATCCCCTTCACCCAAGGATACTTTGTACCAAGTTTGGTTAAAATTGGCCCAGTGGTTCTTGAGAAGAAGTTGAAAATGTGAAAAGTTTACAGACGGACAGACAAACGGACGACGGACAACGGGTGATCAGAAAAGCTCACTTGAGCTTTCAGCTCAGGTGAGCTAATAATTGTACATTTAAAATTAATTTGTCATTTTTTCCCCTCGCAATATTTATTTGCGTTATTTAACTTCCCAACTTCATAATGGCTCTTACGTCTATTAAGCATACCAGGTCTGAAAGGCGCTAAATTCATAATAAAGAATAATAAAATTATCAATTATAAGACAAATTAGAGAATGTAAATTAATGTGCGGTGTGATAATTTGTCGCATGGACAGGTGGTGTTATAGGACTGACGACATCCAAAAATAAGAATTCAATGCTTAACTATACCATATCTGCATGTTTCGTTTGATAACCCCTTGATATTACCACAATAGTTATCATAAGATGAAACATAACCTTGTCACATTTTGTACATTGTGTCACATGTAAATGTATGAACAGACAGACAGATGGACACATTGATTCCAGTATAACCTCACCTACCCACCCCCCACTACCAACAACAACTTCATTACATGTGTACAGAGAGTATGATTACAGATTATAATCTATGATACATACATATCATTGCATTCGATTGTGTGTTAAGGTGTCACTTGTGAAATTAGTTATATCAAGGATTTTTTGAGAAGTATATTTTAGATAAGTACTCATATAGTATGATTCAAAATCGCAAAGAAAATGGGGGGTCAGTGTGCATGTTACTGAGCTACGGTACAATTAAGTTGACCTTTTTGCACTTAAATTTTAACTCTTTGGTTAATCACTTTTATCTTTATCATATTTTATCAGATGTAATTATGGCAATAAATATAATCTTATTTTACGTAAAATAGTTTGAATAAAATTTATATTGGAACAAATCATGCAAATTAATGTGCATAAATTATTGTGTGACCTTTTTGCACTAAAAAATATCACATTTGGGGTAATAAAAATCTAAATAGGCAATATTTTCTTGTATCAAACTTTTTATGACTTTTAAAGTGCTGATCAGTTGGAAGTATCGTGTTGTTTAAAATAATGAAAGAAAACGTGATGTAAATTTTGAGATATTGGTCAAAATGTGCGACTTTCAGGCAAAAAAGGTGTAAATTTTATCTTGACTTCTTTGATATATCTTCATTTTGGCAAAGTCTGTTGAGTGAATGTGTAAAATTTGTTCTAAAAATATAAATTGAGACCTATATTTAATATTCCTATCATATCATACTGGAAAATATTCTCTTAGTAAAAATATGTGGGACTAAAGTTCCAAGATTTTAAATTTAACAAATGTGTAGATTTGAAGAATTTTTTTCTAAATATCCTTCCACCACAAGAAAAAGTCCGTCATAAATCTTGCTTCTTTATGAATTTTTGAGCAGTTTTTTTATTTGAATGTTGAATAATTTGCATTGTTTAATTTAAATATGTTATGATAATTGAATTGTAATAAATAGTTTTGAAGTTAAAGGTTCTGACTGAACTTTTCTAAAAAGCTGACGAGTGACATACCTTAAAGACCAAAAAGACAGACTGAATCAGATACCTGGTATACTCCTTGCCTTTGGAAGCCTGGCCATAAAAGCTTCAACTTGATGAGAAAACAGTGTTGTTTGTTGATTGGGTTTGTGTTGTTCTCCTACAAGTTTAGCCAGCAGTTTGTTGTGAGAGATGCCGGCACAGCACGTCAACCCTATCTCTTTGTAGAGTGCTGCACGAATCTCCTCTGCAATGTGGGAACCAGTCAAAATCTGCTCATAGCAACCACAGGTACAAAGGTCCTCTTCTATGAAAGTGAAATGTGACACATTTTTATCAAGTTTAATATAAAAATGGTTAATAGCCTGCATCGAATATTATAATATTTGATTACCTTTGTCTTGATGTTTGTCTCCAAAAACATGTCCAGCAACTGTCAAGTTATTTTCATCTTTTCTCTGGTTTACCAAGTCTGTCACATCTAGATAATTTTCATCCATACCTAATCTCTCTACATATGGTGTGTACTTGTTCAAAAACTCTGTTAGAAAATATGACCTGACATGTAAATTCACTTAACATTATACTTTTTTTTCACTCTCTTAGTTAAATTATATAATCTGAATAGTTTCAGTGAATAGATACTTTTAAATGAATAAAAAAAATTGTCAGCCACAAAATTAGAATTCCATAAAATTCTGACGATGTAAAGGAAAATATGTACAACATACAAACTACAAATACTACCTTACCAGACATCATACCAGGTAATCAATTCATAAAACACTTGTAATGTATCACTGATTTACATGTATATATCAAATGATTTACAAGATATTCAAAACCTAAATGTGTAAAGAAATATGTCCATTACCCAAGACTTGCCTGAGATTTTGTAAGACATTTCCCTGTAATTAGTCAAATCCTCTCCACTGACCAGCACCAGCTGTGGACATTTTTCCTTTGCATCCTTGATGTACATGAGCTTTGTAACTCCGTACTTCCTAGCAACATAATTACAGGTCACAACTATATTCTTCTGTTGAATTCCTGTCAAAGTTTACACATACATATTATTACAAGTTTTGTAGTAAACAAATATTTTTTTAACATTTGATACTAATTTTTGCTGTTTTCAATAATGCAATACTCTGACCTTTCTCTACAATACTGCCATTGAATTCACACATCTTTAAGATGGCAACGTATAAATCTTATCGGTGAGAGAGAGAGAGAGAGAGAGAGAGAGAGAGAGAGAGAGATGTACAAACCAAGTGGCTTATCTCTGAGTGATGGATCCCTGATCATTTCCACTTGGGCATAAAAGCAGTCCACATCAATATGAATAATGGTTCTTTCATGAATAGGCTGTGCATGTGCTGACTGATCTAGGAATAAAATGATGATCATAGTTAAAAACAATGCTCAGCTGAAACATATTTCGCTTTCTATCTCAAACATGTAAAACTTCAACCCCATGTGTCATGATTTGAACAAACTTGAAGAGATTTTTCCCCATAAATATTGCTATCTAAACTCTGACCAGAAAATTCAAGCTCCCCTCTCCCAAATAAAAAAGAAGGAAAAAATCAGATATAGTTTTCGCCATCATACATTGATTACATTCTAATAAATAAAATAAAGGTATAAAATACAGTTATTTAAGTGACCCAAACCTACAAGTACTCACTGTATTTAGACATCATTCCCATTTATTACAGTGGAACATGTCCTAATTTATGATCACTAGGCCTTGAAGAGTTATCTCCCTTCTCTTAATCAATAAAAATCAATTTTAAAAATTGATGCAGTAAAGAAATTATTTTCAATCATTATTCTCTTCCTTAATCCATAATTAAATACATCTTTCCACTCCAGCATTTATTGATATCCTTAGTATTTGAATTTTTAAAAATTTAAAGTCCCTATAGACCCAATGCAATCTTCGTTGATTAATTACTGCTTAGATAATTTATGTGCAATATACATGGCATCCTCTTAGCTTGGGCTAGTGGTTTAAGCCTTGAACTTGGTAGAGCACTGGACTGGCATGCTAGAGTTCCTGGGTTCAAATCCATTCGGAGGCACAAACCTGTCTCCGTTACATCTGGTGCCCACATTGGGACCTAGGTATTCTCTGGCTAATGAAAGTGAATGCCTCTAGAACTTAACCCCACAGATGCTGGTACTTCAAAAGAGACGAGGACATATTATTCTCCGGAGGGGGACAACATAATATTTTAAGATACATCGCATCCTACTAGCATGCGCTAGTGGGTTAATCCTTTAGCTTCATTGGTATAGCACTGGACTGGCATGCCAGCAAATCCATTCAGAGGCACAAACTTTTTTGAAAATGTCTCTTGGTAAATCCTTTTCTACATGTACTCTAAAATGCTTTATTAAATTAATTTCAGAGTATTTTTTAACTGTGATGGATAATATTTTAGGATAGAAAATTAGGTTGTACTAGGGGTGGAATACCTTAAAAAAGTGTTTCTTTATGTACTGTAGAATCATCATTGTTCATGGGGGACCAATGTTTCTGGATTTCGTGGGTGATCCTTACCCACAAATTTTCATCCCGATGAATGATTATTTTGTCGGTGTTTTCATTAATTGAATCTACCATACAGACTAATTACTAATGAAATTACATATCAACAAATAAGTAAAATTTTGCTTGCCCACAAACATTAACCCCAAGGAATTAAAATGATTCCACAGTATTCCTAGAAAAACTTTGACCTGCAACTAAGGCCCCATCTTAGCTTTTGTTCTTGATAAGATTTTTCAACATTTTTCCATGTATCTAAGTAAAACTTTCACCCCATATTGTGGCCCACCCTATGTCCAAGATTTGAACAAACTTTATCTTCACTCCATGGAATGCTTTAATTTATATCAATATGAAAAACTAAAGCCTCTCTATTCTTGAGTAGAAGTTTTTTAATGCCCAATCCTGGCTTTGAAGGCAATGATTTGAACATATTTAAAAATACATGACATTGGGATGTTTATATGTAAATGTGACTAACTGTAGTCCTGAAAAGATTTTAAAGATGTTTCCAATATATTCCCATGTAAAGTTTTGACTCTCTATTGTGGCCCTACCTTTGGCTTTGAGGCCATGATAAGCATACACTTGCATCTTCACTACACTGGGGTGATAAATGGAATATCAGTAATTGTAGCTTTTCTAATCTAGAACATTTTTTTCTACATACCTGTATTAGAATGTTTAAATTTGACCCCCTACGTGACCTCTCCTTACCTCTAGAGTCTATGACTAAGGTGAAATTAAATCTAAACTCAAGAAATTTTCACACAAGTTTTGACTTTTCTAGCCCAGTGGTTCTTGAAGAGGGATTCTTAAATAATCCCACAAAATTTTCACTATTTCTTAATTATCTCCCCCTCCTCCTGATCTGAAAATGGGGCCTGACCCTTCATTTGCACAGAATCCCTTTATTCGAAGACTGGTTGAAATTGGCCCACTAGCTCCAAAGAATTAGTCAAAACATGAATAGCAGACAGGAAGCTATGGTAACCTTTTAGCAGAAAAAGCTCATTTGAGACTTTGGGAAAGTTTAGTAAAAAAGCTGAAAATCTGAAAAAGGCAATAGACAGATGGCCAAAGAATCTGAGAGACAGACAAGGGACACACTATGATCAGAAAAGCTCACTTGAACCTGTGGTTCTGGTAAGCTGTTGATGTGAATAGCCGTACACTGATTTAGGAATCTCATGTTTAAAGCTCACTGATACTCTGATAAGAGAGATATCTCTAACTGGAATAAACATCTATTATTCCTTTAAAAAATAAATAAGTTAAAAGGCCATAGGAAATTTGTTTGCATTTTAATTATAAATTACATTCTTTTAGCAAAATCATATATTATGTGTTAAAGCAGAATTTGATATGAGTGAATTAAAGAAATACTCAATAAAAGTTATAAGGCAAATATTTCAATATATGTGTCGTACACTATTGTCTGCAAATATAAGTTTCTGGACCTTACCATGTGTTCTTTGCATTTTTAATGAGAAAGGTATACTAACATATAGCATTAATAGATCTCTTAATTTTTTTTTTCACTATGCGGAAACAAGTCCAATCATCAAGAATCCTCTTAAACAGATGTAATCTTCTTTTCCAGTTCCTAATTAAGTTACAATATCTCTCTAAGATCATGTAAAAGACATTTTAATTTGCTAGAGAACACTGCATCACACGAGGCTCTAACCATTTATTATGTGGATTCCCTAGTCAATATTTAGAATTTATATATTTACATTTACATATAAACACATATGTAATGTTCCATGTACCTTTCTCCAGAGATCTGTTATGCAGGTTCAGTCTACTTGTAGGACTCTGTGTTTTACCAGTCAACTCTACAATAGGTTTGTTCCAGGATTCCTCTTCCTCATCCATTTTAACTGTAATGTTTGAAGTCATTATCATCATGTCCAGTCCAATGACTATTTCCACCCGTATAGCTTATAATATAAATTTCTACCCGTACAGCTAATTATACCTACCTAGCTATTTAAACCTACTTTTTGCTTTACTTGCATTCTGTGGCGAAACACTGTAGTAATGGCGTAAAATGACGAGTACCAAATTTCTTGATACAGTCACATTGACAATGCATACAATAATTTTGGCCAAAAAATGATTACTTTCTAACTTATCAATTTTGCATCAAAAACTACATCCAGTTTTATTTTCCAGTAACTAAAGATCAGAGCTAAATATAAAATGTACAGCAAATCTGTATTAATTTTAAAACTTATCTTCTTGCATTCTTAGATTAAAGGTTTATGAGATGATTTTTCATGCATTACCTCTACATTCTACACCCTTATAAATTTTTCAAATTAACACCCAAAATTTTTTTCCATGCAAGTGCAAAAGATGATAAACAACACGTTTTACCTGTTTTAAAGATGCGCTTTAATTAGTATTTATTTCTACTTTCAAAGATGGGTATAAATAGGTAGAAGTAGCTACTTCAAGTAGGTTTAAATACCTAGGTAGCTATTACAGTCCCTGAAACGTTCTTCTTTCCCATTTTTCCGTTCGCTCACCGTTCGTTCACCGTTCGTTCAGCGTGCGTTCACCGTTCGTTCACCGTTCGCTCTCCGTTCACAGTTTTGCGTTCAGCGTTCACCGTGCGCTCGCGTTCACGAAGCGTTCACCGTTCGCTCTTTGTTCGTTCACTTTGCGTTCACCTTGCGTTCAGCGTTCACTTATCGTTCAGTCTCCAGTGTCATTCGGAACTCCGAAGTGAAAGGACTTATCTTTTTTATGTAAGGATTTACAGGTTTTGAATTTAATAAATAACATACCGTGTTTAAAGAATCATTATTTCATGGGAAAAAAATTATCTACGATACTTATTTTTATTATTCTAATTTAGCTGTTAGGTTATTTATAAAATTTATCTGGAAAATAAATGTCGTTATAAGTGCATGTATGTACCTATGTAGAACGATGCTGAAAAATTAAATTTAAATACGGGCAAAATAGTGATACTTCAAGCACTGCAACATTTTGTTGTTATGTTAAAGACGACAAATTGTTAATGGATAGATAATAATCGAAGTCAATTAATTTACCAACTGTAGCAAAAATACGAAAATATTTATTTCTATCACATTTTTTTTCAAATAATACAGAAATACATGTTAGAACATGTTCTGAGAATGATAAACAGTACTGCGGATATCCAATTAATTAAATATCTTTAGAGCGAATTAAATTGATAGTGTGGTTAAAAAAAAATATTTGTTTAAAATGTTATGCATTAAAGAATTTTTTTCTACTTTACATATATAAAGTCTTTAATTAGAGAGAGAGAAATCCCTTTATAACATGATTATCATTTATATAACCAAGGTGATTCTCCAGTAATGATATTTTTCACCATAACTTTATATGTTTGTCATTCAATATTATTAAGAGCCCCCCCCCCCCCTTTCCCCTAAATCGATAACTTAGTTAGTATTTCCAGTATATTTCAATTAACATTTAAAAAGAAGTTAATGCGTTTTGTAGCACAAAAATTTCAGTCTCAAAACAAACATGCATCTAAACAGAGTCATTAAACAATAGTAGTTCAAAATATACATGTGCCGGCGGTGATATTTTAAATTGGCAGGGAGTATGTTTCAAATTCAAGAGGCTTAATTATTCCAAGTATTTATTCCTAATGTATTTTATTCATTTATTTATTTATCTATTTTTTAGAAATGTTGGAATCAGATCTAGAAATAATAAGAAAAATGTTCAGTAAAACTTCTTGGAAATACTTTGCCTTCGGTGTGACGAGATTTTCACACCTGCACAGTGTCGAATGATTTTGATTGACAGGTCAAGCACGTGGACTTCGTGTGAACTTGAAGCAGGAAAATATAAACCGATTATAACTGTAAAACAAATGGATTTGTTGATAAAAAATGGTTACTTTCACTGCCTGATATATTTGGAAAAAAATTAGAATTTTTGTTTGATATAGGTACAAACATTTGAGGAAGGGGGGTTGGGGGTTGGGCTAAAACCGAATCTCTCTCTCTCTATCATTTGTCTATTTAATAAAAACAATGACAGCATATTACTTAAATATCAAGTTGTGAAAATTTAATATATAACAAATAATATGACTGCCTCTTTGTATCATCTTGTCCGAGTATAATCACGGCCAGGAAATGTCTACAGATAGATGTAGAAGTCTGCTCAATAAATCATCATAAAAAATAAAACTGACACATAAATATATTATTGCATTAAAATTTTAAACTACGAGTGTATTTATGCAATACGTCCACATACCTTTGTAAAATATTTTTTTCTCATTATTTTACACGGAATCGCCTTGTATGGTTGTTACAACCGTTGTAATTCATTCTATAAGTCCGTAGTTTTCTCTTCTAAAATCCACATTATTTGTAATGGTTTTATATATCAAATAAGAATAAATTACAACTAGATTAATTTCATCTGTTATACTACAGCGTTCGGTAACAATTACAATGTTTTACAGCGATAAAAATCGTATTATCAAAAAGTTGAATTTAAACATCGTACATATGTGCAGAAAATATTGTAAGAAACTTAAATTAATAATTTTACTTAATGTGCATTTATCATCTTTCTTAGGACAATTTTCATTGATTTGTTTATTTATTTATTTTTTATTTATTTTTTTAGCACCAGGCATTCGAATACAATAGAATAGTTACAATGCAAGGAAAAGATCAGAGGCATTCCGAATAAATCGTTCATCTTGCGTTCACCGTTCACTTTGCGCTCGCGTTTGCGCTCCGTTCGCGTTCTGCGTTCGCTCACCGTTCAGCGTTCACACATCGTTCACCAAGTTGCGTTCAGCGTTCACACTTCGTTCACTCACCGTTCGCTCTGCGTTCGTTCAGCGTTCTTTCACCGTTCGTTCAGCGTTCGCTCACCGTTCAAGTGGGAAAGTAGAACGTTTCAGGGACTGTAATAGCTACGTAGGTAGAAATAGTGGACCTGATCATTGGTAGATATGCAAATAAATAAATTTTAAAAAATCACTTTCTTCAGGAATGTTCTTTAACAGGTCCGGCACAATCTCTTGATTTAGCTATATAGCTTGATTTAGCTATATAGCTTTATTTAGCTATTCGGAATAGCTTTATTAAGCTATTCAGAATAGCTTGATTTAGCTATTTTATCATACTTTTTTCTCAAATGTATTATTTTCTCAGGATGCACAAAAAGTCGCACCTTGGTGCAATGATAATATTCAACCTTGAACTCTTCTGAAAATAATGCATGTAAAAATCACTCATCAAATTGTGTCTCCTTAAGAGACTTTGTACTCAAACTCAGGGATCGACATTAACGGTTGTCCGATTGCCCGGGGCAAGTAAATTCTCAGTTCGGGCAAGTGAAATTGTTATGTACTTGTCCGATCGGGCAAGTTAATATTTCTGACAGATTTTTTTTTATATCTTTCATTAGTTTATAAACAAAACAATAAATTGAACATTTGATTTCTACCAGGCATATGACATTGTTTTGCATTCGTAAATTCCTCGGTAGCGTTTGAAAAATCGGGTTCATTATTCTGTTTTTCTTTCGTGGTAGTTGACAAAAATATGCTTTCCATCTGACAACTTTCTTTACATTCTTATTATGAAATAAGATACATAAAATAGTTTATTTATTAACTCACAGAATATAAAGAATAGTTATTCTCGGTGCACGATGTATTCTGATCAGGATATGTAAGCATGGCAACTGTTTCCCCTTTTTCATGGAAAAAAAAATCAAGATTCGCAAAAAGATCGCACAAAAATAAATTTAAAAATATGAATGTTATTTTATGGGAAATATTGCTGCATGGCAGTGTGAGTTTACAAGTATTTAAAATGTAAAATGAGCAGCACATCAAATTTTTTCTGGCACTTATCTTGCCAAATATAAAGTAAGATCTCACTTTATTTACAATAAAAAATTAAGATACCGGTTCTCTTCTTTCTAAATTTCGGGCAACCAAGTTTTGCATTCGGACAAGTCAAAGTTTGAGTTCACTTGCCCAAAGGGCAAGTGAGTCTGAAAGTTAATGTCTATCCCTGAAACTTCTAAAAGTTTTGGGGCTATATAAAGCAATTGATACAGTTAGATCTCGAATGAAATTATAAAGGTCAATTATGGTCCACAAGATAATTGATTGGTAATAATTCAGTACAATGAGGAGCAATCATACTTATCCATGCCTCAACGCACACAAGGTAGTGTACAGTTACCCAAACAATGGAAATTCATCTTTTGCTTAAAAGTATTCAAATGCTGCAATGTTGGAAATATCTTTGATTTTGGTTGTTGTTTTGATAGCCCATAGTGCATATATTTATAGTCAATTACTTGCGACTTTTTGTCTATTTTGCACAAATAACATTTTTGTTAAAAACTGCATATAAATAGCTTTATCAAGCTATTTTGAATAGCTTAATAAAGCTATATAGCTATTTCAAGCTATATAGCTTAATCAAGAGATCGTGCCGGACCTGTTTAATACCATGTACAGATGTACATACTATGGATATACTTACCAAGTACCTATACTGTGTTAATAAGATTCAATTTTTAAAATCAAACTCTGGTAGTGGTCTTCGTGTTTTACCGTACATACTACATTCAATAACATTGTTTTCTTCACTTCAAAAACAAGCAGTTGACCGTTCTGACACAAGTTCACAACTTTATATATAGCCCAAATTCAACAGTTCAGTAGTCCGCTGGTAGTAGTGTATAGGCCTACATGGTAATTTATGTTAGTCATAAAAAAAAAAAAAACAGTCAATGTTATTAACATTCATCATTTCATAATTTTTCTTCTTTTTTCCCTCTAATTTGCTTGAAAGATGAACTTCGATCCCGATCAAAAATCTCTATTCTTGAAAATTCTTCATTTGAAACCATAGACTCAACAATCACATGCAGACAGCATCAATAAACAATATTTAATAAAAAATAAATATATTTGAAAAAGATTTATTCCTAAGTTTTATAAATCAGGAATGAATTTTACATCGAATATTTTACGTATGACCACAAAAGTCGAGACACGAATAGTTAAACGTATAAATTAATCAATTAAAATCAGTCGGCATTGCCTCAGCATCAAAATCCAGTAAGGACTTTGAACAGGAAAATGATTTTAACAGCATGATGGGGGAAATGAGTGATAGATTTTATTATGTGTATAGTTGTGACCTAGATGTGAACCTACAGATTAAAATGTAAGTCTACCAAGAATAATACTTACTAGCCTGAAAGGTGAGAAGGCTGTTGGATTTTTGATATATTTCCTCAACATCTGCAGGGCTTAATCTTTTTGGTACAGGGCCCTGTGTCCTTTTATTTGGGAATTTTAAATTTAAAAAGTGGCAAAATTTGGAAATATTGATGACAAGTATGTTTCACTGTTGATTAAAGACTTAGATTGTAGACTTATCCCCTATTTACATTTTTTTTTTAGTTATAATTATCTCAAATTTAATAATTTTCGAATTATTTTATATAAAATAAATTGAACATTAGGGAATTTTTATCTTAATTTGGATGAGTGGAGGTGGGGGTGGAGAGTACATTTTCATGGGACAGGATGATTTTACCGAACCTGGATAGAATGGATAATAAGCCCTGTCAGATCTGTCAGTTTAATATTAGGGAGATTCAGTAACCAGTCAATTTGGCTCAGTGAAACAGATCAGTGACACTTCAGTCAAAATTGTTTGACAGTTTAGCCCCTATACTGTGTTGTTGGGTAAAGCATCAAAGAATGCATTCTAGTTTAATAGTTATAACAAGGGCACTGCAGAGCAGAGCATCCCCTCGCAAAAGAGCATTTAAATTCTGATATGGATTATTACTTGCATAACTTCTGTTACGCATGCTCTTACTTACCTACTTACCCCAGTCCCCCAACACATAAGCACGTTACTATATCCCCTCCAATTCATTGCAAGAGGATAAAAAAGCTTTCTTGAAAGGTAAACACAATTTCACTTTTTATATTTTCCCTGGATAATACTTTTATAATTCTGAGTAAATACAAAGTTACCACAAGGTTTTGAATATTGAGTATGTTGAGTTTTGATATTTCCATGTCATGAGGTATGTGAACCACAATACGTTCTATTTGCACTATGGAAGAGTTATACTTTTTAGTGCGCTCCTTTGTGAAAAAGTCAGAAAAAGTATAAATCTCGCAGGATTTCTGGGAGAAACGTAACAGAAACATGTAAACAATATGTTGAATGTTGATGAACAAATCCTAAGAAAATGCAAATGAAATATTTTATTGTTGTGGACTTTATATGCATCAAGAGTAGGAATGACAGTGATATCAATTTATATCTATTGTTGATCTATGTATCTATTTAATGTATGGTACATCTAAATACAATACACATGTCTCGGAAATGTCGTATTTTTTTATTATAATGGGTGATAAATTAAGGGTTCTTGCTCTCTTACATATGTCTTTAAGTTCTTCTATTCTTTAAATGGAACATCAAATACATTTAACATTTAAAATTGGATTGAGATTGGCATGTTTTGTATTATCCGCAACGCCATGCTGTCCCAGTCAGACGACCAAACGCGCCTCTAATTTTGAAGAGTTCACTATTGGAAATAGAATGTATTGGAGACACTGCTACGGTTTGATTTATTATGAGTGTAAATTTATTTGAGCAGTTATCATTATGAATGTTTTCTGAGTTATAACAGAATGAATGTGCCATACATTGCATCTATTATAGTTTTATATTGGCCATGCTGCAGTGAACAAAAACGAAAGTAGTTTGTCATCGAAGCACAAACATCTCTGTCTTCAGTGTGCATGTTTCATAATTTTGTTTGTCAGATGCTCTATTAATGTTGATTTTCAAAATTTTGTTATTGATTATAGACAGAAAAACAATTCTTCAATGACCAGTGTGTTTTTTAATTTTTCTGTGCTTTAATTTAAACAATATGGCTTAAAATACATATGGTGACCCGGAACTGAGACAATCCATAATTGGCAACTTCACTGTATGTAGGCAATATAGGCTATGATATTGTCTAATTGCTGTTGAGAAGTAAATGTTTACATGTTTGAAAAGTACTAAGAATAATCATTGAAATTTAGATGTAATTGTAACGCCACTATACATAGGTACCTGGTAATTCAAGCTACATAGCTAAATATAGTGATTGTATAAGTGCTGTTGAGAAATAAATGTTTACATGCTTGAAAAGTACTGAGAATAATCATGGAAACGTAAATGTAATTGTAATTTCAGTGTACGTAGGTCCCAGTAATTCAAGCAATGTAGCTAGATATAGTGAATGTTTTCGAACCCGATTGCACACAACTCAGTATTTACACTTGGAAAAAGCAAAATACTGTATGTTATGTTTCATTATCCCCTTGTTCATTTTATTTATGTGATTGAAATGTGAGAAGATCACACAATCAGTGAATAAATTAATATATACCAGTATATATATAAATCAAGAAAGCATTCGACATTGGTCCTGGTGCAAATTACATCACTTCCGTTATGCACATAAGGACAAACTAACTCACTTACACACTCACAAGCGCATACCGGTAACTATATCCCCTCCAACTCCACTGCCAGGGGATAACAAGAGAGATTGTAAATTTCGTTTTAGTATTGTGTACACAAAAAGCAATAGATTACCTTAATTCATATACATGTATTGAATAAATATACAATATTTTAAGGTTCTGATGAATGTTGTTACTTCCAAATCAAACAATATATTAGAGACTAACTTTGAGACTATTATAATATGTAGAATTTTGATAACAGAGGGACTTTGGAGGGGGAGAGACAGAGGCCGGACTATAAAGACCTGCTGGAGGATCCTATGCTGAAGTTTTCTGGGGCCTATGGAGAAGGATGCTCAGATCTATATGTTACCTGCCAAGTGTTTGCGGATGAACACCCCCTTTCTCTGTGTATGAGTACATCTTACAAAGCCTTCAGCACTCGATGGAAGTGAGTCAGGACTGACATTTTATGATTGTACAGTACTTGTAAAATTTTATGGTTATAATGAGCTCTGGTATAATGAGTCTATGGATATCTATGGATTTTGTGTCCTGTAGAGGTAAAATAATAACAAAATTAACATCTATTATAACTGATTTATTATATTCTTAGTAAATTATAACATTTCTTCTCTACAGCCTTGTTGAATTTTTGTAACATTTCTGGCAGACATATTATTTCGATAATTCATTCTATATATATAAATTAAATCTCCACTTCATATGGAATCTTCTAAGGCCAATAACTTGAAAAACTTCACCATGAAGTCAAACAGCAGAGTGTTGCTATTATTTTTTTTTTATTGTTTGTTGTATTCATGACTGCATGTATGCCATTGTATAATGATGGTGTTGTCAATAAATTGAAATTGAATTATGCCTGACAATTCCTGACAGTAGGTTTCAACCTTGTTTTTTAGCTGGAATGAGTGGCTAACATTGCCAGTGAAGTACAGTGACCTACCTAGGAATGCCATTCTGTGTCTGACAGTGTGGGACATTTATGGAACTAATCAATCCATTCCTGTAGGCAGCACAACCATTCCTCTGTTTGGTAAAAGAGGGTGAGTAGACTTCAGAAGATGTGACCATAAAATTGTGCTCAATACAAGTAAACATTGTATGCTTTGACACCTAATTGCAGAAGATACCTGTAATTGAAATAATTGTTCATGAAAAAAAAAAAAGCCCTACAAAGGATGTGCTTGTGTGTATCATGTGTACAGATATGTATGTAGAATACACTGTAAATTCTAGAACATGTGTATGGTAAAATGACTCAAATGATCTGAGAGATCAAATCAAACAAGCATAAGCAGTGTAAAGCAATTAAAACATATAGGTGATTGTTGTGTATAGTCATTAATCCGCACACTTATAATCTGAGCAATTTGTCCAGATTACTGTAACTTCTGGATTACTGAAACATTTTTATACTTGGTATCAATATAAATTGTTTCCCACAACTTTCGACCAAAAGGTGAATTGTTCAGATTAATGAGACTCCACTGTATAAAGTTTTTAATGACATTACAGAACCTACAGACAAGGCATGCATGACTTAAAAGTCTGGCCAAACACCCTCCCTGATCCAAGTGTGAATTCCACCACCCCAGGGAAAACCAAAGACCACAAGGATCAGATGAGCAAATTAGCAAAGGTAAAGTTATGTTTATTAGCAAATACATTAACATTTAGAATGCTAGTCATCAAGTGTGTCACTTAATTTTCATAAGACTTTTGGAATAGTAACAATTTTTCAAATTTTCAGAATGATTGAATATACATCTGTTTGTTTTTTGTTTGTTTTATGAGTTATTAAACATTTAGAATATAGCAGCTATGCTTGGTAAAAGTTAAACATTACCTTTTGTCAAAATGATATTTGTTTTTTTATGTTCTGCAGTTGAGCAAAAAGCACAGAGATGGGCACATGCTGAAAGTGGACTGGTTAGATCGTCTGACATTCCGAGAGATTGAAATGATCAATGAAAAACAGAAACGAGACTCCAAATTCATGTATTTGATGATAGAATTCCCCTTCATACATTATGATGAAACAGAATACACTGTTGTCTATTTTGAAAAGGTTAGAAAGAATTAGAAATATAGGACTGTTGTCTTTTTCTTATCTATATATCATTATTACTTTTGATTATTTTTTTGTGTGCACTTAGGTCGAGTGGAATACTTTGGTCAATTTTAATTAAAATTATTAGAAAAAAATTGAACAACAGGAATTGTTGTGTTGTTAACTTATTTTGTTTATTTATTTATTGTTTATTTATTTTTTTTTTTTTTGGCATGTGTTTGTGTTGAGTGGAATACTTATGCCTGTAACAGTAGAAACTGTTGCATTTTTTTCCCATGAATTGAGAAAGGAGATGGATGATGTTTATTTTATAGGGAAATTCATAAACTTTTAAGAGGCCTTGGATATAATACCAGTATAATTATGCAGGGTGTGAATTGATATAACAGGGAAGAAAATTTAATTAGCACTTTATAAGCTTTTTTAATTTCTAGTGTTCTCATTTGATGTATTACATTAGGAGAGTACTGAAGGCTGTATTTTGAATATTTTTAGGAATATCTGAAGGCAAGTGCTGTATATATTCCTATCACTGCTGTTCGTATTTTTTAGGATGGAGATGAACCATTTGTTTTTAAAACAGTAGCTGACCTAGTTCAAGTCCCAGACCCTGAAATTGACATGGTAAATAAAATTTCTTTCTTTCATGTCTGTAAGTGTACTTTGACACATATTTCAGCAATGCATGTACATGTATACTGGTAATTTCAAAGTATTTTTACCCTTAAATATGCTTTTTTTCTTTCAGGAAAATTTAGTTGAAAGTAAGCATCATAAATTGGCTAGAAGTTTAAGAAGTGGACCAACTGATAGAGACATGAAACCAGATGCCAAAACCAGAAATCTACTCAATGTAATTCACTTAATTAGTCAATGAATACAGGAGTTGAACCAATACATATAGGAATTAAGGTGTAATAATGTGTTAAAATGTAATCTATTGTAGGAGATTGTGCGGTATCCACCCACAAAAACTCTGACCTCAGAGGAGGAAGATTTGGTGTGGAAATTTAGGTTTTATCTGTGTAACCAGAAAAAGGTAGGTTGAATTACTCAAAACCTTCAACACATTTTTGCTGACTATCAGTCAACCAAGTTTTGATTATTGTACATTAATCAAAACTCACACTGAGCACTGAGTATTTGTTTGTGGGAAGTGAAGCTGATTCCACTGATGGTTCAAAATAAGATGCAAAGATCTGAACATACCATAATTATCATTATATATCTTGCATGTTATTTTGAAGGCTCTGACAAAGTTTCTGAAGTGTGTGAACTGGAAACTGCCACAAGAGTCTCGTCAGGGTATTGAACTTCTGACCCGCTGGAGCCCTATGGATGTGGAAGATGCCCTTGAACTTTTGTCCCCTGCCTTCACTCATCCCTCTGTCAGAAAGTATGCTGTGTCAAGACTCAGGCAGGCTGATGACCAGGTAGTTTTTTTATGGAGGGAAATTGGAAGATATCATTAGATCTACATTGGGGGTTTATTTGATTCACTTTCTTTTAACTTCAATTGATCTCATACACAATTTCATTTAAAAGAAAATACTGTACTGTAAGAGTTGTTTTTTTCTTAAAATAACATTGTGTTTATATATTCATTATAATTGCAAATGTAATTGTTGAAACTAGGGGAAATAATGAGGAAAAATTTCTCTAATTCAATTATGATACATGTATACTATTCATGATTTGTATGATTGTTAAATAAAAGAACCCTGCAGCACTTGAATTCCTGCAGTTTAATTCCTTTTCAACTTCCAGGATCTCTTGCTGTATTTGCTCCAGCTAGTACAGGCCCTTAAGTATGAGGATTTTGACGAGATAATGAGTCACAACGACATTGTATCAGAGAGAAGAGACTCCACAAATGACCCTGGTGCTACAGATAAAATCAGGTCAAATCTCCTTTTTTGTACATGCTGCCATTTTAAAGAAAAAAGCATGCTTATTCAAGGGAGGTAATTTTATGATCTAAATGTATATTCAAAAAAAAAAATCCTATTTTCTATGAACAATATTTTTTTTGAAAATGAGAAGAATATCTTTAAAGGATTTGCCTAAAGGCAAGGTATATATATACTGTTTTGTAATACTTTTTTTGGCTATCCAAACATTTCAATTTTCTTTCAATGTTCAATAAATTTATTTAATTTTGTGTAACATTTGTACATATCAGGACTATCAGCACCCTCTCTAGGGCCTCCTCTAATGAGTCCATCTTGGATGCTTTGAGTGGATCCTCTCCTTCTCAGACCGAGAGTCCCGAGTCTAAACTAGAGAGGGAGGTCAGTTAACCACAGAAAGTGTAATGTCCACTGCTTAAATCTCCCGTTTTTAATTGATAAGTATTCACTACTGTATCTTCATTCTTTACTTTAAAGAGATCAAGTATCCTGATCTGAAAATCAGATTTTATTTGTATGTATGAACTTGTTTCCATGCTTTTATATATTTTTTTTTAATTTTGCAAGATGGATTTAGCCAGCTTTTTGATCTCACGAGCTTGTAACAACTCATCTCTTGCCAATTACTTTTACTGGTAAGAATACTGTACAGTCACATGTAACACATTCATGTTTTAAAAGTACGAGGGGTTATCAAAAAGTTCGTGGACTGACGCGATAAAATTAATAATATGTAGTCTTTGCTTACAAAATTTAAGCGGAACATCAAACAACAAAAGTTTAAGAAATGTTGAAAATTTTAGCTTGATACGTTGATAATTTGCCAAATTATTCTAAAATTAAAAAGACTTTGTGTGATCATCCGGCGCTGTCGCCGTTTAGTGTCATGACGTCTGCTTAACGTCATTGTTTCTTAATGTCCGCTCTCTCTACCTCATACACTTATCTTGATGAGATTACCTTAAATCGACACTAACTGTGCATATTTCATCTCTCTGAATCTTTTTGGGCATTAAAAAACAAGTACTCTGGATGCATTTTATTTTTCTGTAGCCAGTTTAAACATTCCTTAGGTCAATACCAGTTTTTCCAGGAGCGAAACTCTATAGAATGTTTGAAAAAGAAACCCCTTCCCCTTTTTGACGTTATTTTCAAGCCCATAATTGTTTGGACACTCCATATAAAATTTACGATGAAATTTCATAGAAATTACAGAATGGGGTAAAAATTGCAAATTTTACTGAACAAATGTGTCGTACCACATGCCTGAATTAACGAGATTTTTATGATGACAAATACTCATATCTAAAGAGTTTTTCTCAGTTACACTCAGGTAGAAAAAAACGTCATATTAGAGGTTGCGCCGCCTGGACATACCTTTGCTTACAAAAACACTAACAATTTATTAAAAAATAAAAATTATGATTTATGGTTTATTCTATAGATAGAAAAGATGATGCTAACTAAATGTGTAAAAATTCATTGATGTACCTAAAGCGGTTTTAATTTTATGACGCTAGTCCACGAACTTTTTGATAACCCCTCATAATAATTACTGTAAAATCACTTTAGGAAAAAATATTTTCGTTCATGGGGATTTATTTCTTGGTTGAAGAAGTGAACACAATACATGTACTGTAGTTTGAAATTTTGATATTTTGTGGAGGACATGAATTTGTGAGTCTCTTCATACTTCAAGTTTATGAAGTTTTTAAATATACATGTACCAGTTTAACTTTCCAGTCCAGGGATGAGGTAAACTGAGGTCCTGTGTCGCAGTAGATCCTAGCATAAAAATGATCCCCCCATGCTCAGTGGGCTATAAGTGATAAATCTATAGCCTTCCACTGATAAGTGCTGGCATCCAACATGAGCTAGATATTTTCAAAGGATGTAAAGCTAACATTCAAACAAGGCTGTATTTGGTGAACTGATGAAAAAATTTAAATTGTTGAAATTATAGACTGCAAGTTCATGGTCACTGTAAGGGGTTTCTTTATCTGAGTATAATCTTATATTCATTGTGAGGAGGAGAAATGTGATTCAGCATTTTTGCCCATGCGCTACATCAGTTATAAAATCCGATAATTGTTTTCATCAATAATTATCACTTTTTGTCATATCCTCTTTTACTTTTCTGCACTCTTCTTTCTAATGGTCATGTGAACACGGAAATTTACTCTTGGGGGGTAATTTACTCTAAATACAAGATAAGAAAGTCTAACCCCCCCCCACACACACACACATATGGCTTTTGCTTGTATTTGATGTAATTATAACAGTCACATTTTCCTCTCCTACAGGTACCTATCTGTGGAGTGTGTAGACCCTAATGGCCTAGATATTAAAGATTCCAAAGTGACAAAAATGTACCAGCATGTTTTAAAAAGATTTTCGCAAGCACTCTTCAAGGTAAATACATGTATTCATATGTCTGTATGAAGTGAGATAAGTAAAGTATTTAATAAAATTGTGTTCATATCACTGATTTTTCCCCCATTTTTTTCTTTTGATGAATATTGAATGTAGACATCTTTTTACATATACCCGGTAGATTATTGAGTACTTATCTTAAAAAAGAAATTTCATTTCATAGACTGAATCTTCTGAACCAATTGTTTATGAAGAATATTTTAATATAAGAAAATCTTTTTATAATTGCATATGGGTGAACAAACATTGTAAATTTTAAGGTCAACAAACATGTACACATGAAACAAAAGCTTGGAGAGCAAAAATTAGAAAAAATAAAGCAATTCTTTATTCCTGGCCCCAGGATCATGAAACAGACTTAGACTTAAGTCAAACTTTCAATCGCCTGAAAAATGTTCATTAATTATTGAATCAACCTCTAAATTTACAGATAACAACATGTTTATTAAACATTATTGAAAAAATACTTTTATTTTAAACTCCTTGACTTCAACAATGCTTTAGTCCAACAGAAAGATTTTGACTTAAGCTTAAGATGTTTCATGATCCTGTGGCCTGGTTTTTTAATGAAATGAACTATTCTCATGCTTCATACACAGTACATTTACATCATAATAATGTAATTTTGAGGAGAGATATGCTCACATTGAGTTTATGTAGTGAATTTGGAATACTTGTAAAGATGGGATTGATTAAAGTGTGCCGTATAAAACCATAAGAGTTTTACTGGATACTTTTCCAGGAGAGTCCCGAGTCCAGACAGAGGAGATCAATGATCGCTCGGCAGCAGACGTTTATAGACAGACTCGTGGATTTAGTCAAGACAGTGATGAGGGAGAGTGGCAACCGCAAGAAAAAAGTAAGTCCCATAAACCTTTGGTTACTAGGGTTCAATCTGAATTATTCCTGCAAGTTAGTTGGCTAAAGATTCACATTAATTTTGGCTATTTAATATTTTTGTGGTTTTATTTCAAGTAATCTACTGAAAGTAGCTAATCTGACAAAATAGAAGTTTGGTCTTAAAGAGGGTTTTGATTTACTTAAAGATAGAGAGGTTACAAGCACTCCTCCATGACCCTGAGGCCTGCAAATTTGACTTTTCGAATTTTGAGCCATTATCACTTCCTCTAGACCCTGACGTTAAAGTATGTGGAATCGCACCAGAAAAAGCAACACTTTTTAAGGTGAGAAAACAAATTGAAAGAAAATTCCAATATACAGGACCCTCTGTGCTGGTGTTTAATTTCTAGGAAATAGTCATTCTCTACTCAAGTTTTTGAAAATGTGCCAAATTTCTTTGTAGAGCAATTTGATGCCATGTAAATTCGTCTTCAAAATAGTGGATGGTGGAGAATATGTGACTATATTTAAACACGGAGACGACCTCAGACAGGATAATCTTATTCTGCAGATCATCACGTTAATGAACCGAGTAATTTCACACTAGAACTATTAAAAGATTCAAGTGGTGTAGCAAACTTACCTTATTAATATATATACAATTGTTTGAAATATTCTTTTCCTTAGTACTCGTGGTATTAAAGGATAAGTAAAATCAAGATTACAAATACTGTAGACTCCTTATTTTACATGAGTATTTAATATCTCCAAATGGCCCTTAGACTCAAAATCCCAAGAACAATAATTTGCGAGTGGACTATTGATCTAGGGCTTTTACATGGATTTCAGTGCCATAAAAATAGAAGTGAGTAATTTAATTTAGTGGGTGGTACTTCTTGCCAAATAACAAGATGATTAATTCGTCACGTATATTTAGGAATCCACAGTGGAGGGAATATGTACATGTATAGTATATTTATTTTCACTTTTCAGTTATTAATGAGGGACAATTTAGATTTGAAGTTGACACCTTACAAAATTCTTGCTACAAGCTGTAAACATGGTTAGTATGAATTACAAAAGATTGACAAATTCAGAATAAACTATACTTAGTATTCTATGTAGGTGTTGTATGTGTATTTTTTGTGAGATACTGTAAACCAACTATTATTTGCGTCATCTTTTATTTGGGATTCTTCAGTTTGAAATCAATCAGCGACGATTAATTTTAGTGACTGAGGAAACATTCTCTACAAATACAAAGCAAAACAAATGGTTTGCGGCGATTAATATTTGCGGGTTATAGTAGGTCACAAATTATATTTCTTGCATGCAAAAAAAAGTTGGGTTACAGTAATAATATCAAGAGATCAGATTCATTTTTCTGGTATATCAAAGTTAATCTGTTTAACAGGTTTTGCTCAGTTTGTGGAATCTGTTAATGTGGCTGAGGTTCTGAATCAACACACTGGGATCCAGAACTTCTTTAGAATCCATGCTCCATGTGAGAACACTCCATACGGATTTCAGCCAGAAGTCATGGACAATTACATTAAGAGCTGTGGTAAGGATTCTGTTATAATCTATAAAACACCCGAATAGGAAATGTATTGTACAGTTGAAATTAAAAATATTTTTAAAAAAGAAATATCATGTATAAAATGAAATAATTTTATGACTATGAAGTGTAAAATACAGATATATGAGTTATATACATGTATAACAAATAATGGTCATAAGCTGTCGTAACTTTGAAGGTTTGCTTTTCATGTTCACCTCATACCATCAGTTTGTAAATATTGTTCAAACTACAACTGATCTCTCCAATTTCAGCTGGATATTGTGTCATAACATACCTACTGGGAGTCGGAGATCGTCATTTCGACAATCTGCTGCTAACAAAGACAGGTATTTTTATCTTGATTTTTTTTATATTTATGTGTGGTTTTCTGTTCTTTGTATTGTTACATTGTGATAATTCTTATGGTAATTTCAGGAAAACTTTTCCATATTGACTTTGGGTATATACTTGGACGAGATCCCAAGCTCCTCCCACCTCTGATGAAACTGACAACAGAAATGATTGATGGCATGGGCGGTCCCAACTCGGAGCATTTTCATGACTTCAAGAAGCTCTGCTACACTGCATTCCTTGCAATTAGAAGGTAGCTTAAAATATTATTTGATGGTAAAAAGAGATGTAAATTTTGTAGTAATCATGATATAATTTTATACTGACAGTAAGACTTCATAATTTTAATTATATACTGTATGGGGGATTAATTTCACGGGTTCTAATTTTCACGTTTTTCTCTTTTCTTACACGATCGCGGTTTGTTTAATTCGCGGAATTGGTATATAATAAAAGTTACCTCCCTTGTCTATAGCGACATTAATCAGCGTTATATATCTACTTCACGAACAAAAGTTTAGGTTTATATAAAATAGTTAGATTTAATAATTAATTGACGATTAATTAAAACAAGTGCATTTACTAAAAGTCCTCGACTATAAACGTCGAATGATGATGCTATTATGATGAGTGCATGTACACCGCAAGATCTTCTTTCTGAAGGGATAATACATCGCGGCGAAAAACCACTGGACGGTAATAAATGTGTTAACGTATGTCAACGAAATAATATCTTTCCACATCTTCAGCAAGTTCGATAAGTATTTGAATGATTTTTTTTTAAACCATAATGTCGATAAAAACTAATAATAGGTAAAAATACACGTGGTAACATTAGTTACGCACGGGTAATCAAAACCCATGACCCACGCGTTTTGATTGATGAAACGTAGCGTTGGCTTTTAAAACAGCTTTTTAACAAATACAGGTTTTTATCTGCTGATTTGAATTAAAATAAAGCGTGATAATTAAAATAATTGAATGACAAGTACTACTTGCAATTACTGAAATGACCATGTACTGCACGTATATATACCTATCGTAGTCTGTTCTCAAATTTACAAATAAAACATGGAGGTTTATGAAAACTTATTCACTGTTTCTTGAATTCACGGATTTATCAACACCGTGAATATAGCGAATATTAACACCGCGAGTTATTTTCCCCCTATACAGTACATGTATGTTCACCTAATGATTAAGATATATGAAAAAAGTATATGAACTTTGCACATGAAGTAAACATACTGTGGATGGAATCGTCGTTGCTTGTGGGGGACCAATGTTGGTAGATTTTATGGATCCCCCTTACCTAGGAGTTTACATCCCAGTGATGGAATCTTCTGTATAAACAAGAAAATTATGTCCCCATGAACCAGAAAAATGTTGATTGCCCACAACATTGACCCCCCACAAATTAAAATGATTCAACAGTAGCTCAAAAACATACGACAAAGTCATAGTACAACTTTTTTTGCAGGTCTTCCAATTTGATATTGAACTTGTTCACATTGATGGTTAGTTCCAACATTCCAGATATTGCAATTGAACCAGATAAAACCGTCAAAAAGGTGAGATGTCACATCCCTAGAATGTTATTTTATTTGAATATAATACAGATGCTTATGGACAGGATTATGTTGAGATTTGACAGATGAAGACAGTTCATTTACATGATTAAAAACCAAAATTTCCACCTAGACAAGGAATGTTGAAACATTTTGACTGCATGAAGAAAGCTCATGATATCTGAGGCTTGATATCCATAAGGGGGAGGGGGGCCAGTGTAAGCAAGCAAAAGTGACTTACTTGGTCTGCTTACCTACCACCAGTAGTGATTGTTTTTAAAAATAGAATATTATCTTATTAAAGTTATTTTAGCATGGAAACACATATAATTTCTATTATGTTTTAGAAAACTTTTTCATACCAAAATCCCTGGTACCTGCAGAATATAGAGGTTCTATGAATATATACTGTAGTGTGGTATAGTTCACACCCATTTCTATTCAGTTATGAACCGATAATAAAAGATGGATAATAGTGTGTCTTGAGAAATAAATGTGATTTATATCCAGCAGAATTACAAAATACAAATGATTTTATTTTCAGGTACAAGACAAATTTGTGCTCCACCTAACAGACGAAGAAGCAGTTCAGTACATGCAGAATGTGATTGATGGCAGTGTGTCTGCTATGATGCCAGTGCTTGTAGAAAGATTCCACACAATAGCACAGGTAAATAATAACCCATAGCCCAGGTAAATAATAACACACAATCCCACACCATAGCACAGATAAATAATAACACACAATATCACACCATGGTAAATAATAACATACAATACCACACCATAGCCCAGGTAAATAATAACATACAATACCACACCATAGCCCAGGTAAATAATAACATACAATACCACACCATAGCCCAGGTAAATAATATCACACAATACCACACCATAGCCCAGGTAAATAATAACACACAATACCACACTTTAGCCCAGGAAAATAATAATACATAATACCACACCATAGCCCAGGTAAATAATAATACATAATACCACACCATAGCCAAGGTAAATAATAACACACAATACCACACCATATAGCCCAGGTAAATAATAACACAAATACCACACAATAGCACAGGTAAATAATATCACAATACCACACCATAGCCCAGGTAAATAATAACACACAATACCACACCATAGCCCAGGTAAATAATAACACACAATACCACACCATAGCCCAGGTAAATAATAACATACAATACCACACCATAACCCAGGTAAATAATATCACACAATACCACACCATAGCCCAGGTAAATAATATCACACAATACCACACCATAGCCCAGGTAAATAATAACACACAATACCACACCATAGCCCAGGTAAATAATAACACACAATACCACACCATAACCCAGGTAAATAATAACACACAATACCACATCATAGTCCAGGTAAATAATAACACACAATACCACACTATAGCCCAGGTAAATAATAACATACAATACCACACCATAGCCCAGGTAAATAATAACATACAATACCACACCATAGCCCAGGTAAATAATAACACACAATACCACACCATAGCCCAGGTAAATAATAACACACAATACCACACCATAACCCAGGTAAATAATAACACACAATACCACATCATAGTCCAGGTAAATAATAACACACAATACCACACTATAGCCCAGGTAAATAATAACATACAATACCACACCATAGCCCAGGTAAATAATAACATACAATACCACACCATAGCCCAGGTAAATAATAACATACAATACCACACCATAGCCCAGGTAAATAATAACACACAATACCACACCATAGCCCAGGTAAATAATTATACAAACATAATTCTACACCATAACCCATATAAATGAATACACATACAATTCCACACCATAACCCATGTAAATGAATATACACATACAATTCCACACCATAACCCATGTAATGAATATACACATACAATTCCACAACATATTTAACCCATGTAAATGAATATACACATACGATTCCACAACATAACCCAAGTAAACAGTTAATTAAACAATGCCACACGATAGATTGGGTAAATGATTATACACATTCAATTCTTCCACATCATAACCCAAGTGAATTGCATCTACAATCCAAGTATTTCTGGATAATCTACATGTTAATTTAATTTTCTCAGCGGGGCAATACTTTTGTCATTTATGATCAGAGAATGGGACATGACCCTGAGTCAAGCTCATGGGGGAAAGCAAAGGTCACTTATTTTGAAACAGAAAACTTTTTTGGCACAGTATCACTACTTTTGTTTTATGCAGGGATTTTAAAATTCTGATAGGCTAAATGTTAAGTCATTCAGAGTCATTAAGTCATTAATTTTTTTCCCTCTGAAGTAGATTTTTAACTAGGCTTATATTTATTGTTGTAAATTTTCATTGCAGAAATGGAGGAAATAGAGAATTATGTTAAATGTCATCAGATGACCAGTAGTCTGTGATGAGGAAAGTGCAATATTTTCTTTAGATATATAAATGTTCCCAGAGATAATTTGAAAATCCTGAAACTTCATAGCAGTACATACTGTATGTGAACCTCTGTTAAATTAAGTATTTGAAACAAAATTGTATTTTGAATTTTTAATAAATTTATTTTGCAAATTCCAGCATTTTCCATTTTGTCCATTTCTGAAATATTCTTCACATATATGTAGGGAACATTAACGCTTTGTCAAAAGTATTTATGCCCCCTTCATTGAAATTGAGAAGGGCGGGAGGGGTGAACGATTTATCTAATTTCATTTATCTAAAGATAATTTGGAAATGAGACAGAGAATATGTGAATGGCTTGATTGAATAGAAATAAAATAAGTTGCTTGGATTTTACTCAAACAATATTTCTAACATTTGAGGGGTGTAAAACTCATGCAACAATCATTCTCTACAAGAAAATTCTGTTGGCACAACTTAATGAAATAAAAGTGTTTGTTATACCTTTAAAAAATGGTCCTTTTAGAAATATATACTTAAAAAGAGTCCCAAGCATTTCCAACATGTTTTACTGTGCGGTAAAAAAAAAATCGATGTTTGACCACAGAGTGAAATATTGAACCTATCGATGAGATACTGGACCGCTTACGTCACACTGTGGGCGGGATCAGCTAAAATCTTATTTGCATTCGTTGGTATTCGACAGTGACAGAATTGACCATTGACCAAGTTTTAGCGCAGGTAAAGTAAATTTACATCATGAAAGCCAGCACAAGATACATGTATGTCATAAAATTAAAAGGTATAATAAAACGTTTTTTGACTGTGTTCTCGGGCAAAATGCGTTTTGTCGACCCCTTGAACCAAACTGTTTATTGTTATACCTTTAAAAATTGGTTTCTTTATACCTTTAAAAATTAGTTCCTATGTAAATCTATACAAAAAAAGTCTAACATTCCTAATGTTTTACTGAGCGGTCATAAAAAAATCGATGTTTGACCGCAGAGTGAGATATTGGACCTGTGAACGAGATATTGGACCGCTTACGTCTCACTGTGGGTGGGATTAGCTAAATCTTATTTGCATTCGTTGGTATGGAAGCCAGCAAAAGATACATGTATAACAAAAAATAAATAAAAGGTATAACAAAACATTTATTGACTGTGTTCTCGGACAAAATGTGTTTTGTTGATCCCTCGAACCGAACAGTTTGGTTCTTGGGTCGGACAAAACGCATGATGCCCTCGGGCCCAGTCAATAAATGTATACATAATATTATATGTGTAATAGAGAACAGAGCGGATAAGATGCCCCTGTGGTTTATTCGTTAGTTTTTCATTAAAAAATTCTAAATATGAAACAGATGTGGCAGACTCTATATTTTGGGTTCACTGGGATATACCTAGCTACACATAGATGAAAATAATTATACATTTATTGACTTTGTTCCAGGGCAACGTGCGTTTTATCGGACCCAAGAACCAAACTGTTGCCCGAGGTCATTACGCCGAAGACAAACAGTTAGTTCGGGGTGTCGACAAAACGCATGTTGCGCGAGAACACGGTCAATAAATGTTTGGTTATACCTTTTTTCAGATACGTGTATCTTGTGCTGGCTTCCATGAAGTATAGCACTGCGGTAAATCTCGGTCAATTCCGTTACTGTCGAATACCAACGAATGCAAATAAGATTTAGCTGATCCCACCCAGTGTCACGTAAGCGGCCCAATATCTCATCGATAGGTCCAATATCACACTCTGCGGTCAAACATCGACTTTTTATGACCGCTCAGTAAAACGTTGGAAATGTTAGACTTTTGTTTAGTATAGGTATATAGGAACCAATTTTTAAAAGTATAACAATACAAGTTTATAAACATCCTTTTTTTCTGTCATTGAAATAGTTAATATTGCAACAAAAATCTCAATGTTGCAACTCATATTGCTTTAATGTATCCAAGCCCTAAAGAAAAAATATTGAAATGTAAAATACATGACACTGGGCGGGATCATAACAAAAAAAGCACATGGTAAGTAATGGTCGACTTTACAGCGAATTACAAAATACCAGTAAAGTTTTCAATAGCTTGCTGGATAGCTCAATAAGGTATACAATTTGGTCTAACAAGTATCACAATAGGTTTGAATCTAGATCATGAAGTTACTCAGGTGTATCATTAGATTTTAAAGGTAAATGTGAGTTGATTTCAATGTTGTATGAATCAACATGTATGGGCTATAAATTGTGATCTTTTATTAGCCGACCTGTTTTTATATTCCTTTGAAGCATAATTTATTCATTATTTTCTACATGTCGATGAGAAGAAGAAAATTTTCGTTGTGGCCTTCAACTCAATATATAGATATATCGACGACGTTTTATTATTTAATAGTAGTTACTTTCATTTATATGTCGGTTAGATATATCCCAGTGAACTCGAAATAAATGACATAAGAGAGTCTGCGCATCTGTTTCATATTTGGATGTTTTACTGACTATAGACGATGACGGCCAACTATGATTACAAAACTTTATGACAAACAGGATGAGTCAGGCCTTTTCATCGTGAACTTCCCTCATTTATGTAGCAACATCACCTGGATAGGGTGTTTAGGTCTCCCAACTGATTCGATACACACGAGCGTGCTCTGAATACGACCAATTTTTGTACCGAAACAAGCTACTGACAAATAAGTTGATGTTACAAGGCAGTTTTTTTTTCAAATTCCACGGTCATTATACTGACCTTGTTTGTAAATACAACCTACCATTGAGTCGTAATTTGTTTGACATGTTTCGTTCCATTTGTTAGGTCATTGCTTTTATACTAAATTTGACTAGGGAGTGCTCTATCAACCTGATCAATACATAGGACTCACGACGGATGTGACCGGTCGATCGGGGATGCTTTTTCCTCCTCGGCACCTGATCCCACCTCTATTGTTTCCAGGGATCAGTGTTTTTGCCCTGTTCACGATTAGTTTTATTTACTGGATTTATGTGATTGGTCACTGTTTGTTATCTTCCACTTTTACATAAAGCCGTATTAAGTATCGAAGTGTCTCAAAACAGAAGAATTTTTTTTAATTTTAATTGTTAAAACATCTCCAAAATCTTTTTCCAAGATCCGTTTTCATTTATTTATATAAACTCACTTTAAATTAATTCAAAGAGCGTCATTTTTGATCAATAGTTCCATCTGATAACAATAAGAGTTTAGCAATGTCAGCGATATGAGAAGTCATTTTCAAGCAAATTCTCTGACGTGGAATTCGGAAAATCAGACATAGGTGGTCCTAAATTACCCTGAATTCAGTTTGCTTATTGATTCTACGTTACATCATCTCGGCTCCATTTGAACTAACAATGGCTTCAAATTCTTGGACAGACAGCTTATAAACAATATCTGGGGTTATTTTTCCGTTTCAAAATATTCATAAGAGTGTTGCGACTGCATTTTCTCCAATACATGCAGTATTTTTCAACACTTGTTGAAATGAGCCTCCTATCTTGTTTTTTCGAAAGTTTAGCTTTAAATCATTTTACCTACTGGTAAATTGTTATAGTTTTTTTTTTCGGAAAATGCTAAATAATCATCACATTATAAAATATCATCATATAACTTCATAGCATCAGCATATGTAAACGTATACACACTAATAACGAACTATCAACATATAATGTTAATGTCAAAGTACCATGGAAAAGTATGAGCATATATATTATACGTTTATACACTAATAACAAACTATCAGCATATTATGCCAATGTCAAAATACCATGAAAATGTATGAACAGTTTCTTCTTGTAATGAAAAAAATATCATTTTATATATAAAAAAAAAAGTTTCATCATATAATGAAGTATCAGCACGTTTGTCTAAGTATCATCATGTATCATCAAATTTCTTTATTTACTTACAGAAAAAAAGGGGAAAAAAAGTCTTCGAAATTATATGTACATGTAAATAGTGTAATGAAGATATTTCTGGGAAGCACTTCTTTTTTTCTTACTCGGCTGGGGTTAAAATAGATGAGAAAATATGTACATATGTATATAATTTCATAAGAAAATAATTATTTGTAAACAAATATGAACATCGTTGTATCGTCAGGTGCGTATTCTTTTTGTATACTTTTTGACATACATGTAAAATGCTTTCACATATAGCCTTTGGTTTTATTCATCATAAATATCCTGCCGAGGTGCGATGTATTCTAAACAAAGAAACAGTGCTTCAAACTAAAAAGTTTGTTTATTTATTGTTTAACGTCCCTCTCGAGAATTTTTCACTCATATGGAGACGCCACCACTTGCCGATGGAGATCTGCAAATTTTGACCTATACTCGGCACTCGTGGCCATTGAGTAGTGAGGGATCTTTTTCGTGCCAGCGCCTACTGCGACACGGGACCTCGGTTTATACGGTCTCATCCGAAGGACCGGTCTCCACGTCCCACAGTGGGATTCAAACCCGCGACATAAGGATCAACTCCTTACTCCACGACTCTAGAGCGAACGCTCTAACCACTGCGCCACGCGGGCGACAAAAAAGAAAACTTGACATCATTTTACACTTAAATTATTAAAAGTTGGTTCTCCGATGAATTCTAGGAACATGAAAACATTGCAATAAAATTGAACTGAAAATCACTTAATTCCGATGTAGAAATTAGAAGTACACATTTTTTTAAAACCATATTTAATGTGAAAATTCTTTGACAAATGAAAAGACACTGGTACGTATAGTGATATTTGACATTAGTCTGCATTATTACTGTCTCGTTTAAATATAGCTTTGCAAGACATTTAGGTTGCTTTTTAAGTCCATTTCTTTTTCTTTTTTTCAACTGTGCATCATCATTTTTAGGAATTCTGAAAAAGGGAAAGAAAAAAATTACACTGAATCTCATACCAAATAAATTAGAAATTCAGTTTATTCAATATATTGTTCACTACCGTTAAAATTGATTTCGCCGTCACCATCTTGATCTGCGTCCCGAAACATCTTTTGAAGTTCTCTATCAGTCAGGCGCTCTCCTAAGTTGTTCATGACCTGTCGAAGCTCAGAAACACTAATCACACCATCTCCATTCTTGTCAAAAACTTTGAAAGCCTCCAGCATGTCCGCCATTGGGTTGAACTCGGGACAATATTCTCCAAGAAGTTCAGTAAACTGTGTCAGGTTTACCATCTTTTTGTCTGTTCAAAAAAAGGCAACTGAGTTTCAATTTGACTTTAAGTCATTTTAAAGGGTGGGGCTACAATTTGGGATGAAAGTTTTACACGGAAATATACGTAAAAAATCTTTAAATAATTTTCATCTCAAGAACCACTGAACCAGAAAAGATTAAATTTATGCGAACGCATTCAGACATAAAGTAGATTCTAAATTGTTCAATTCATGACCCTCGGGGGGGGGGGGGGATGCAATAGGGGATGAAAGTTTTACATTGAAAAATATGGGAAGCATCTTTACACATTCGCTCCTATTAGTATAACCTTGAGGTGTGGTATATTGAAACATCTGCTTTCATAAAATATGGAGATAACAAACAGTATTCAAGCTCAAAGTCCATTTAGACAATACAAATCGGGAGCAGAGCAAACACGGACCTCCAAAACATCAGAGGTGGATCAGGTGCCATGGAGGAGTGAGCATCCCCTGCCGACTGGTCACACCCACCGTGTGCCCCTTGTCATGATCGGGAAAACCTTTAGACAATTCAGTTTGTAAATTATGGCCTAACAATTAAAATGAAAAAAAACATCAGTTGGTATTTGACTTAATGATAGGGTGTATTTGCTGACAAGGTCATTCTATCGACCATAAACTTGCGAAATTATGACTTCAAATGAGACTGTAGATATCCTTGTTTCATTAATTTGTTTGTCAATAGTTTGTCTCGTTTTAGAAATTGTTCATACATAGAGAATGCTCTGTATTGAATCAACTGGGAGACAAAAACCCATATGCAGGTGATAAGGGTATATTGCTACATTAAATATGGGAAGTTGACTGTTGAAGTCATCACGTTTATCATACAGCTTTGTTGTTATGTTACCATTAACGTCTTTTTCTAGTAAAATATTCAAATATGAAACAGATTTGTCAGACTCTGTGGTATCTTTTATTTCAAGGTCACCGGGATATACCGAGTCGACATATGAATGAAAGTAAATATTGTTTATTGATAATACGTCGTCGATATATCTAAATGTCTAGTTGAAGGCCAAAGCAATTGTTTTTTTCTTCTCATGTAGAAGTTTTTGAATAAATTCTGCTTTATATGAATACAAAAATAGGTCTGCTAACAAGGGGGCACAATTAGTACCCATGGGAATTCCAACAGATTGTTGAAAGATCTGATCTCCAAAAACTACCTAGATATTGTCAATCAGAAACTCAAGCATCTTTTTAATATCAATTTCAGAGTACTTGTGTATACAATCAGAATGCTTTTTAACAAAATAATTATGCAAATGACCAATGATAAGGTAAGTATATTTACGCGTTCCATTTTTATTGAAAAGCAGCTGTCTATGATGTCAGAAAGCTTGGACTTTAATTTATCGTGGAGAATGGTTGTATAAAGTGTACATTTTGATGTTATTGAATTTGTTAAAATTTTGTGATTTCAAATTTTTTATAAGTTCCTTGGACTTTTTAAGTATCCACATGAAATGTATGGAGATAACGAACAGTATTCAAGCTCAAAAGTCCATTAAACAATACAAATTATGGAGCAGAGCAAACACAGACCTCTAAAACATCAGAGGTGGGATCAGGTGCCATGGAGCAGTTAGCATCCCCTGCCGACTGGTCACACCCGCCTTGTGCTCCTTGTCATGATCGGGAAATAAGACAAAAATCCGTCAACAATTCAGTGTGTAAATAATAGCCTAACAATTAGTATGAAAAACGTCAGGCAGCATTTGACTTAATGATAAATTGTATTTATTTGATCTGATTTCATCTGATTTACACCACTTCTCGAATATACTGTTTTACAGTACTCCTGAAGTTTTTCCTTCACTGCTGTAAATATTTAGTGAGGAGTAAAGAAAGAGGCTTGGTAGAACATTTACTGGAACCCGCTATGTATCTTTATTTGTAAGGATTTTTATGGAGTTTTGGAATCCAGTATAGTAGAACAAGTTTAAGTATTAAATACATTATTTCCATTAATTTTCACTGATACTGACTGAGTGGCTGCATGTTAATCAATAGATTTTGGACAGCTTTCCCCTGATAACCACCACTCTCATCTAAATTGTTTGCTATTGGTTTAACAATTTAGATATCGTAGACTTTTAATTGACCGATTACTCATTTAAAAATTATGTTGACATCCTGACTTAATTAAATTTCTTATGCTAAAGATATGAGGGTATTATAGTTCGGTTATGCATCAAGTTAGTTGCGTGTGCATTACCAGGTGTGTGTCTATTATGCCAACATTTGTATTTGGATTATTTAATACAATATCAATTGATCTACATAATTTGTTTTCTTTGATACAAATCATGTAAGAATTAAGGTAGAAAAACTGTCTGATATTTACAGTTCTTTCTATAAAATTGTAGAATCATTTTGGTTTTATGGCAATGAAGGGATTTGCTACAGACTTCTTCTGCGATAACCACAGAATAGTCAAGTATAAACGTGGTAAGACAGTATACTCATTGTAGACTAGATACTCTAGAGAAAAGTTTTACAGATGTTGGTCGATACTCCTTATGAAATTTGGACCCGTGTTTTGTACAAATTCTAATTACAGAGTTGTAATGTGAACAAACTTAAATTGCACTACTTAATGATGCAGGTAATTTAATTTGCCAAATGCAGCATCTTTTTTCTAAAGGTGAAATGTTCCGCTATTTTACGCCTACAATGTTCACGAAAAATACTTAATAAATACATACACTTGTAAATACGAATCATGTACACATCAAAATCAGATTAAGTCCACAAAAGAGAGTGCTGTCCAACAAAATTCGCCTATTTGGTGTTATACTCGACTATGTCTTTTTCGGTAATGAATATTTCAAGATTTTTTTTACTAACACGTTGTGTACTTGTATGATACATGAATCTTGACAAACTGTCGAAATTAACGAGAATCAGCTATATCAACCCTACTTTATTCATGGCTATTTCGTTGTAAGTCTTGTAACATTGACAATCTATCTGTTGTGTAATGCTTTTTTTTTTTTGGCTTTCTGCTTGTTTAAAAATCTTTAAACATTCAGATATAATGAAAGATTTCTGGCAATATCATATATTGATAGGCTATGCAACCCAGATAACAAACATTCAACTTCTAATCAATAAAAGTATGAAACAAGAAATACTAGTATATGGGAACGCATGCGTTTCAGATATAGCTCTTGTGCATAGCAATTGCCTTTAGAAGAAAAATATAATAAATGGGAATCTACAGTTAATGACACAGTTTATAATAAATTACAGTATCCTTAACGTTATATTAGAACAAGTTTAAGTAATTAATAGCGATTCTCTGTAACCACTTAAACTTCTTTGCCACGCATGGTCACCGATTTTGATGAAACTTTGCACATTATTACAACTTGACACCAGAAACATATATCAAATAAAATTTCGTTGCTATGTGTCTTGGTTGCCATGGTAACAGCCAGAAAAGTTGGAAAAATTGAAATTTTCAGCTACTTTGAATCTTTATTAAGCCTTAATAAAGACTAAGAATAACAAACAAACAATTCTCACAAAAACCTGACACCTTGTTGCCACTAATGCTATAAAGAAACTATTTAGAATTTATCTCTAAGTAAGTGGTAACCATGGGTACATTTGGAATACATTTTAGATGCTGAAAAATGCAGAAAAATGCTCAATATTCACTAATGATAGGTGTTAAATGATCAAACTCAATCAACAACCTAAGAAAAAACAATAAAAATATTTGACCTTAAGTAATTAGGTATTGGCAATATTATTCTAAAAATAACTTTTATGGTTGCCATGGTAACACAGTGTTACCATGCTAAATGTGTTGCTAAGATTGGGTAAATGCTACTATCTTCAGGAAAAACAATAAATTTCATGACTGGCACATATACATCCTTAGGACCTTGCAACACCGACAACATAAGAAAAAATGGGATTAATTGTTACTTTGCAGTGTAACCATGGAAACAATGTACCAGTTGTTTAAAGTGATATTTTTTTGCTGCATTAGGAATTTACTTACCTTTTATTCAAGAAACGTATTATTTGACTCACCTTGAATAGTACTTATCTGGTAGAACTAAAGTTGAATATCATATATTGATAACGTTTGTTGAAAAATACAACACTGTTGCTATGGTAACCAGGAAGGGAAAATGTTCGATTTTGTTAATTTTATATCAATATTAAAGCGTATGTGCCAGGTTTTTGCATCCAGTTAGAGATTAGGTGGCAGTCAAAATTGAAAGTCAGGTTAGTTGTTCATAATTATCAATCATAAAAGTTTTGGGAATCTACATACAAAGGTACGTATCCAAGGAAACAGAATATTTTTCAGATTTTTATGCATATTTTTTCGGATTATTTCCATAGCAACGCTCTATTTAAAGAATTGAATTTGAGTTTTTTGAAATGTGAAAATTAGGGTCACATGAACGTCTTTTAAAATTGATCATTAGTTATATAAAAATATGCTTTTTAAAAAGATAGGATTAGATTTAAACACTAATAGAGTAAATTTAAAATCCCTTCTTGGTATTAAAACCATGGCAACCATTGCCAACTTATAAGAAATATCATATTTCTTCCTTGGTATATGTTACAAGGATCTTTTGTCTATTATTTGCTTGCATTTCAACCTATAATTTTTTTTTATTCTTAAGTGTTTGATTTTATAAAATTAAATGAGCAAAATTATTACTTTTGAATACTTTGTTTCCATAGTAACATATGTAATAGTTGATTTACCAAACATGTTTATCATGCATTTAAGACATCAGGCCTACAACTTTCAGAAACAATCATTGCCACTTGTTTGCTTTGCTGCAAACGTTAACTGTGGGACTCTGAACATGTTGAAAAATGCCATTTTTCAAACTTTAGGACATGTTGCCATGGTAACCATGACACGTAGCAACCAATTTCTGCCTGATTTCAGTTTATGGTATCAAAGACTTTTATCATAGAGAGTTTGGAGAAATTCTGAGACTAT